AGATGGACATCTTTTAATGAGCTTTGCTCCCCCCCCCTCCCCCATTTTTAATTATGATTCTTCTCTCATCTTCAAGATTCCTTGCTACATAACTGCTTGGCCAGGTCTCTGTATTGGCTATCTGTAACAGATTTTTCTCAACCTAGCTTTGGAGGCTGTAGTTAGACCCGACTGGACATGCCAATGCTAGCCTGGAAAGTGAACCCATTCATTGTGGCGCTTAACAGATCTGAGTATACTGGTTAACTTGGCCACAGAGCTCTTTCTGGGTTCAGAGCCGTGGCACAGCTCCAAGTGTGACCCTGTCTCTGAAGAATCGCTTAGTGAGTAAGGCTGGCAGACCTGAAGTACTGGGAGCTACCTCTAGTTGCATCATTGGGTGCCATTTTATCATTATATCTAAACTAGTGGTGCACCGAAATGAACGTTCTAGTGCCGAAGCTGAAAATTCAGGATGCACTTGGCGAAAACCAAAATGGACCGTTATTTTTCAAACGGAATTTTGTGGGAAAAAAATACACTTTAATAATTAAAAAAAAAAAAAAAAAAACCATATACCTGAATTTTTTTGTAAAATATGAAAGATGATGTTATGGCGAGTAAATAGATACCCAACATGTCATGCTTTAAAATTGCACATGCTCATGGAATGGCATGAAACTACGGATTTAAACATTTCTACAGGTTAGCAGTATAAAGTTAGAGTAGGCCTAGATTGTAAGCTCGAAAGAGCAGGGCCCTCAATCCCCTCATGTTTTGCATTGTATTGGTATTGTTCTGTCACATGTTCTGTCCCCCTCTGTAATGTACAGCGCTGAGTGAACTATTGGCGCTTTATAAATACTGTATAATAATAATAGGCATAGTGCTAGAACTATTGCTCTTGCTCTGATGTTCATGGCGATACCTCGAGTGTGGTTTGAACACAGTTTACATATGTGGGCATGGCCTACGTATGCGTTCACTACGTGTGAGCACAGGGGGATGGGGGGCACTTTTTTTTTTTTTTTTTTTCCTTTTACTGTCCCCTTAAAAAAAGAAAAAAAAAAAAAAAAAGACTCCATCTCCTCTACAATGTAAAGCATTGATCTAATGCTTTTTAAAAGAAAAGAAAAAAAGGCCTTGTTTACAAGGCCCCGGAACCAGAAGTGATGTCGCTCCGGTCCTCCAAGGGCATAGAGCTGAGTGGAGGCCATCTTTCCTTCACTTATCTCTGTTCGGTGGTTTTTCAGGTAAGGCTGAGAATCACTGAGTTGCGGCGGGGTTATTTTCGGCAGCTGTATCTGTGCTTATTTTCCTTTCGGCCTAAATGTTTTGGCCACCGAAATTTTGGTGCATCCCTAATCTAAACCCTAAAACAAAAATTGATAGTATTGCAGCTTACCTGATCTTAGATTTGATGCTGCATTATTATTTTTTTTAACCCGGTAATTCTGCCATTAACACACCATGTCCAAGGTGACCACGTACTGAACAGCGTTGTCACCCTAAGACAGGCAGTGTTAGGACTACATAACACTTTTAGAGCTACAGAACACCTACCTCTTTCCTTCACAAGATTTATGGCTAAATTTAAAAGCTGTTTTTTTGGCTGTATATTTAACAGAACAAAAGAGCACAAAGGGGCCCCTTTCACACAGGCCAGACCAGTCAGCGGATCTGCTTACCTATCTACCTGATGAGCAAGTGGTTGTCATGTCCGTGTCTGCTTCACTTATGCAGAGAGGACACGGACACAGCCCGCTGTCCTCTATGGACAGTTGGATGGAAATGGACCACCTGTCTGTTTCCATCCGATCTACCAGACAGATCGGGGTACATGACCGCTTACACCCGCCGCTCTATAGCAATGGAGCATCTGATCAGGTCTGCTTGAAAAACAGGTGGACCTGATCGGTCTGCTCGTGTCAAAGGATCTAAGAGTAATTTGTTGTGAGTTTTACACTTTATAGATGAGGTACTGAGCACTGACATCTGCAGTGTTCAGTTTTCGCACATGCACTCTATGCTCTCTCCTGCCAGTCAGTGGTGGAGGAAGCACTATCCTGCTTGCTGGCAACTTCATGGAACTCCATTCTGTTACTGCCTGCCTTACAGTGACAGGGTCACCTCTGGCCATTTGACACTCATCAGTACTAGCTGCCTCAGATTTGCGATATCCAGTCATTGCCTTGCACTTTTGGGCCTAGTCAGTTTTTGTGGCCACATCTCTGCACAGTGACACACGCGGGGCAGTCCCACTTGTACGGGTGTCCCCAGCCCATACTCCCCTAGTGGTTCTGAAAACATACTCAGTATCTTCTGGAAAAACCAGTGCATGTAGTATGGAACCCAGTGCCCCCATTGTCATTGGGTTGTCTTCATTGGGGTTTTCTCAGCTGGGTTGGGTGGTGCTCTTTTCAGAGTCCTTGGACTGCCACATCCTCTTAGGACTTTGACCATGTGCTCAACAACTTCATACATTACTAGATAGGATTTCAACATGCTCCAGCCCCCACCCCTGCAGGGTGTTTCTGACCCTCCAGGGGCCTTAGAACAGACCATACCATTGGTCCTTGTGACCATTTCTGACTCAGATTCAGGGTCTCAGCAGTTCATTTCAGAAGAGACTGTTTTAGAGACGTCAACTGCCGTTACTCCAGATTTAAAGGGAGTTGTCAGATGTGACATTCTTGGGTCTTTTTTTGGCCCCTGTAGCTTCAAAGAGCTCCCCTTTTGCATCTGCTATCCATCTGAATCTAAACACAGAAGAAATTGTGCAAGAAGTGGTAATGCAGCAACCTATGTTCCAGACACAAAGCAATTGCAAAAACAATTCATATAAAACAATATCCAAAACCAATATCTCTGTAGTGACCAATACAAAAATGTGTGTGAAAGAGTAACGTTAACTCGTATTGAGCCATTATGAACAATGTGCATCACTTAAATGGTGAAATAGCAGTCCCATATCATAGAATTTGCTTGTGCATAACACAGAAGTACACTTCAAAGGGAGGGGGGATAAATAAATATATCTCCAAATGTGACATCTTGGAAATGATGATAGTCCACGTGCAAGGCTGCCCATACAATATAATTTTCTTGTACAATTTTCCTTTCGATTTTACCAAAACCATATGAGGTCAAACCTAAACACTTTTAATTTGTATGCAATCAGGTACCCTTGCACTACATAGTTGAAAGTACATCTAAAGGAAATTGAACAAGAAAATTGCATAATGTATAGCCAGCTTAAGAATCCCAAACCACCTCACGGACAAGTGTACCAGTTTCCTTACCAAATGGTGATGATCTCCAAATAAGAACTCTACAGCGCAGAAATCATCCAGTTGGAGGGTGGGGGCGGCACCACTCAGGATACCACTGACTCTACGTTCCTTCAGCAGTTATCCAAAGCCAACACCTCCAAGTAATAACTGATATCTTCATATATATTCCCCTGATGTCTGTTGCACCAGATGGAACTCGTGTAGGGCGAGATCTGTGGCATATGTTGATGCCTGCATACTACTCTGTGGTCCTTTGTTCTTTCTCTTACCCATTATTACTTTGAGGTGCTGGCTTTGGATGACTAGTGAAGGACTGTGGAGTCAGTGCTATCCTGAACGGTTCCCCCCCCCCCCCCCCCGTCAAATTGGATGATCATTTGGAAATCATTAAAATTTGGTAAAGGGAACTGGCACCTTGTCTGTGAGGTGATTTTGAATTATTATGCACAGACTTTCAACATTTTAAGATTTCACATTTGTACTAGTGCACAGAAATAAATTCTGGGCTCAATCCGAAAATTCAGGATGCATGTGGCCGAAAACCGAAGTGGATAGTTTTTAAAGAAAATATATTTTGATATAATTGTGTTATTTGACTATAATATCATAAATTTAAATGAATATGAATTTTTAAACAATCCAGTAACGTGAGAGAACTTTTATTGAAAGTAACACAAAAATTAGACAGAAAATTAAATATATATGTAAAATTAAAAAACTTAAACAGGGGTTTTTGCAAGTCAAGGGGACATGATTTTGCACTGAAGTCAGTTAATATCGATAACTGCACATGCACTCTCCCAAGGAAGACAAAAACACTCTAGCAATACACACCAAACTGAGCATGTGTAGCTTGCCCCCAAGGCTATGTTCTATCAGCAGATGGATTGGGTTGGGGATGGTAGAAGGGGAGGATCAGAGAAGATGGGATCAAACATCCTTTTTACACAATGCAGGGGATTAACCTTTTAGGTTCCACAGTGAGAGTATAACAAACATGTTTTACTGCATATACAGACTGATTTTTACCTTTGTGGGTTTAGTAACACTTTAAGTTGTTGGATGATAACTGTAGATGAGGGATAACAATTGGTTAGTTGTAGGCTGTTTGGTAAGTTGAGCTGGGAATCTTTCTTTTTTGTTGTTTGACATGCTTTGCCCTTCCATGTGCTCCTTGCTACAAAGGCCAGTTATAGATTGGGGCAGTTTCCATTTGTTGGTACGGATAACAATTATATGCATATACTTTAATGTAATGTATTGCATAGGGTACAGGCCACAACGGAGTCCCCCTATACCTCATAGGCTTACAAATATTGCACTAGGTTGATCACCTTTTTCCCTAATATCCACTATTCTGTTTATAGTGTAATTTCTGTTTTAAAGCCAAAAATCTAACTTGGTTAACCTCTTGACATGATTGTAGTCACACAGTCTGCATGTAAAAGGCCATGAACAAAGGAGCTCAGTACTTTGCATATATGGCCATATTTATCCCCTTTTCAACCTGAAATTGCTGATTATATAGACCCGGCTTCAAATTCTAGACAAATGCAGGTAATGGGTGATAGTGCCGTTTTGTCTGTTCCTGACATGCGAACATGTTTATACCTGTTACTACTCCCCACCAGGTTTTGTTATGCAGTTGGTAACAATTTGTTTAAATTTGTGCGTGTACTAAAACTATTTTTTACCTATACCTTTTTTTGTGTTTTTTTTTTTTTCTAGTACAAAGTCCTGATGGCTTTCCCGGTTATGTAAGTATTAAAAATGTTGCAAGCTTTCTCTGTGTCTTTTTGTATAAACTGCATTTTTTTCCATATGGAAGGATTGTCAGATTGACTGTCTTGGAGTTTTTGTTGAAATTTGCAGTTTTAGAAATCTAGAGAAAATGAGAAAAATATGATTTTATGCATGCCTTTTTAATTGGTGGATTAAGGACATGTCTTTGGACCCTTTTGGTAAGTGTCCTTACTAGACATTGATACTTTCATATTCGGCAGCATGTGGGGTTTAGCCCTGAAATCAGAAAGTGTTAAAGTTGAACCCCACGCTTCTGTCCTTTATAGAAATTGCTTGCCTTAATTTCTCTTCATAGTTTGAGCTTCTCAAAGTGTTACATAGTCAGTTGAAAAAAGACAAAAGTTCATCCAGTTCAACCATAGAAAAAAAAAAAGTTATAATCCTATACATGCAGTTGATCCAGAGGAAGGCAAAAAAAAAAAAACCCAGAAAGCTTGATCCAATTTGTACCCACTGGGGGAAAAAAAATTCCTTCCTGATCCCCCGAGAGGCAATCAGATATTCCCTGGATCAACTTTACCTATAAATGTTAGTATCCCGTTATATTCTGTGTATCTAAGAATCCAGGCCTTTTTTTTTTTTTTTTTTTTTTTTTTTTTTTTTTTGAAGCAATCTATTGACCTGGCCAGAACCAACTCTTGAGGGAGTCTATTCCACATTTTCACAGCTCTTATTGTGAAGAAACCTTTCTGTTGGAGCTTAAATTTCTTTTCCTCCAGACGTAAAGAGTGCCCCCTTGTCCTCTGTGTTGACCTCACGGTGACTAATTCTACACAGAGTTCACTATATGAACCACTGGTGTATTCATACGTGGTGATCATATCCCCCCTTAATCTCCTCTTAAGAGAGAAATGTAGTTCCTGTAATCTTTCCTCATAGCTGATCTCCTCCATGCCTCTTATCAGTTTAGTTGCCCTTCTCTGTACTTTCTCCAGTTCCCCAATGTTGTTTTTGTGAATTGGTGCCCAAAACTGAACTGCATATTCCAGATGAGGTGTTACTAATGATTTGTACCGGGGTAATATGATATCTCTCTCTGGAGTCTATACCTCTTTTAATACAAGAGGATTTTGCTCGCTTTAGAAACCGCAGCTTGGCATTGCATGCCATTATTAAGCTTGTGATCTACCAGAACTCCCAGATCCTTCTCCACCATTGATTCCCCCAGTTGTACCCCCCTAGTATGTATGATGCGTATTCTTGGCCCCCAAGTGCATAACCTTACATTTATCAACATTAAACCTCATTTGCCACATAGTTGCCCAATTAAACAGAGCATTGAGGTCGGCTTGTAAATTGAAGACATCCTGTAAGGACGTTATTCCACTGAACAGCTTGGTATCATCTGCAAAGACTGAAATGGGATTTTTAATCTCGGACCCTATATTGTTTATAAATATATTAAAAAGTAAGGGTCCCAACACTGAACCTTGGGGTACACCACTGACAACCCTAGACCATTCAGAGTATGAATCATTAACCACTACTCTCTGAATACAATCTTTTAGCCAGTTTTCTAGTCATTTACATATGGATTTTTCTAAGCCTGCAGACTTTACCTTACACAGCCATGTGTGGGGAATTGTGTCAAACGCTTTTGCAAAATCCAAGTATACCACATCTACCACCACTCCTCTGTCCAAATATACCACATCCACCGCCACCCCTCTGTCCAAGGTTTTGCTCACCCCCCTCATAAAAAGAAATCCGATTTGTTTGACCACTTCTGTGGTCTTTTCTTAAACTCTCCAGTATCTTCCCAACTATAGAAGTTATACTAACAGGTCTGTAATTACTTGGTAAAGATTTTGACCCCTTTTTAAATATTGGCACCACATTGGCCTTGCGCCAATCCAGTGGTACTATGCCAGTCATTATAGAGTCCCTAAAAATTAGAAACAATGGCTTTGAAATGACTGAACTCAATTCTTTAACCGCCTCCCACCCGCCATATAGTAAAATGACGGACGCAAGGCTGTTCTCCCATTCTAACCGTGCATGCGCGGCTCCGGGAGCATGCGGCGATCGGCGGTGAGCTGTGTCCCTCGGACACAGCGGATCACTGATCATTGGAAAGAGCCGAAGATGTCGGCTCAGTCATGTGATCAGCTGTGTCCAATCACAGCTGATCACATGTAAACAGGGAAATGCCGGTTATCGGCATCTCTCCTCACGAGCTGTCACGCTGACAGCTCGAGAGGAGAGCCGGTAATCGGCATTCCTCGGAGGGGACATGTACACAGATCATCAGAGCACTGATTATCAGTGTAGCCCCAGCAGTGCCACCTGTCAGTGTCCATCAGTGCCAGCTGTCAGTGCTCATCCATGCCACCTGCCAGTGCCACATCAATGCCCATCTGAGCTGCCTTTTGGTGTCACCCATCAGTGCCAGCTATCAATGCCAGTCAGTGCCGCCTATCAGTGCCATATGAGTGCTGCCTTTCAGTGCTCATCAGTGATGCCTGTCAATGCCCATCAGTGCAACCTACCAGTGCCTCCTCATCAGTGCCACCTATCAGTGCCCATCACTACAGCCTCATTAGCGCACGTCCGTGAAGGAGAAAAATCACTTGTTTCCAAAATTTTATAACAAACTAAGAAAACGGTTTTTTTTTCCCCAAAAGTTTCAATGGTTTTTGGTTTAAGAAAAAAATAAAAAACCCAGAGGTGATTAAATACCACCAAAATAAAGCTGTGTCACAAAAAAATTTCATATGGGTACAGTGTTGCATGACTGCGCAATTGTCATTCAAAGTGCAACAGCGCTGAAAGCTGGAAATTTGGCCTGGGCAGGAAGGGGCATATAAGTGCCCTGTAGGCTAATGGTTAAGGACCCGTGGGTGTATGCCATCCAGTCCAGGTGCTTTATTCACCTTTATTCTGTCTAAATATTTTTGGATCATATCAAATTGTGATCCAATGTGGATCATCTGGAGCTGTGTCAATACCATGCCCATTATGGACAAGAGCTCCCCCATGCTCCTTTGTATACACAGAGCTGAAGAAGGTATTTAATAGATTTGCCTTCTCTTTGCCTCTAGTCACCCAGTCTAGATTATTTTGTAAAGGGCCTACATGCTCGGACCGAACCTTTTTACTATTAGTATATTTAAAGAATTTTTTGGGGTTGATCGTATCTTTTGCAATCTGTCCGTTTTTTAAATTTTTGTGTCCTTTTTATTTCCTTTTTGCACATTCTGTTATATTCTTTGTAATGTTTAAATGATAGTGTTCCTTCATTTTTATATTGAATAAAAGCTCTTTTTTCTTATCTATATCCTTGTTAACTTTGGCCATAAGCCACATAGGTTTGATTTTTAGCCTTTTAAACTTGTTGCCCATGGGAATATATTTTGCAGTGTGTTCACATAGTCTTTTTGAAGAATTCCTATTTCTGTGTTGTTCATCAATGCCAATATTCCCTCCCAGTCTAAGTCTTGGAGTGTGCATTAGAAGCTTCAGCAAGTCAGATGGAGCCCTATTTCCTGGCTGGGGGAGCTCCAGCATCAGCTAGCCCTTTCATCCACTACTTTACTCTCCCTGGACACCTTTCATTAATTTATATTCAGTATTTTTTTTCAATCATAACGGCTCAGCATCATATGTGGACATTACTTAGGGTGGTTTGCATGCAAATTCGGCCTAGTCATGCCCATTCCAGCCTGAAATTCACTAAGTGCTGGCCCCTCCCTTCAGACATGATTTGCATGCATTGCATAGGAAAGCAGAAAGCCAGGAATGACCTTGCTGGGTTTAAAATAAGATATATAAAAAGGACAGGTTTAATTTAAATATCTAAATATCATGTACTGAAACATGAGACGTAGTGGCGCCACTCAGAAGCTAAATGTCAAAGGAATCCCCTCACAGGTCGATATAGGGCCGAACGATGCCCCAGTGTCAGTCCAGTCACTTGCATGGAGGGAGAAGAAAAGACACCACTCTCACCTCCCGTACAGTCCCATGAATAGCCACAGCCATCATGCTGGTCGCGCCCTCTGATGCGTTTCACCCCGCCCACCGGGGCTTGATCACAGAGGAGTGATTATGAAGGTAGAAGAGATGAACTAGGGAGGGTAAAATAAAAGCAGATTAAGCTTCAGCTTTTAAACAATATGTAAACTCAACCTTTTATATTCTGGATTTGTTCTTGCTGTATCATGTGCTTGTATGAAAAAGTATCTTGTTCTTTGTATTGGTTATTTTATTTTGTGTGAAATTCCTGGTGTTCCCGCCAGTCACTCTGCTATCCTATTAAAAATGGACCACACTAGGCATGAGAGCACAGCATGGTCAGTTTTCTGGCTGTGCTGGGAGCTAACCCAATGATTAGGCTTGTCTTGACAAAACACTTCCCCCATGCCCCCCACCAGCATTCACTGGGAAGATTAGTGTCCTGCTGTTTCTCCTTCCTGAGCTCTTTGTGCAGCTGAGAAATTGGGGAACAGTGCCTTGAAAAAGTATTCATACCCGTTGAAATTTTGTCATGTTACAACCAAAAACTTAAATGTATTTTTATTGGGATTTTATGTGGTAGACCAACACAAGTGGCACATGATTGTGAAGTGGAAGCAAAATGATAAATTATTTTCAATATATTTTACAAATATCTGAAAAGTGTGGCATGCATTTGTATTCAGCCCCCCTGAGTCAATACTTTGTAGAACCACCTTTTGCTGCAATTACAGCTGTAAGTCTTTTTGGGGATGTATCTACCAGCTTTGCACATCTACAGAGTTACCTTTTTGCCCATTCTTTGCAAAATAGCTCAAGTTCTGTCAGATTGGATGGAGAGCGTCTGTGAACAGCAATTTTCAGGTATTGCCACAGATTCTCAATTGGATTTAGGTCTGGACTTTGGGCCATTCTAGCACGTGAATATGCTTTGATCTAAACCATTCCATTGTAGCTCTGGCTGTATGTTTAGGGTCGTTGTCCTGCTGGAAGGTGAACCTCCACTCCAGTCTCAAGTCTTTTGCGGACTCTAACAGGTTTTCTTCTAAGATTGCCCTGTATTTGGCTCCATCAACTTCCCATCAACTGACCAGCTTCCCTGTCCCTGCTGAAGGAAAACATTCCCACAACACGATGCTGCCACCACCATGTTTCATGGTGGGGATGGTGTGCTCAGGGTGATGTTTGTTTTCCACACACACACACAGCGTTTTGCTTTTAGGCCAAAAAGTTCAATTTTGGTCTTCTCTGGCCAAAGACCTTCTTCCACATATTTGTTGTGTCCCCCACATGGCTTCTTGCAAACTGTGAACGGGGCTTCTGATGGCTTTCTTTCAACAATGGCTTTCTGTTTGCCACTTTTCCATAAAGGCCAGATTTGTGGATTTGCTTAAATAATAGGATAATAAAGCGAGCGCTAATGCTAAAACCAATAAGAAAAGTAAGCAGCTGAACACACTAAAAGGTAAACCACATGCCTTCAAATGGATCAATAAAATAAAGCTGCAGCGTTAAAAATCTACGGAAATGACCAATCTTAGTCTCATAAACGCATGTATGTGATAAATGCGTTTTGCTTATAACCTGTAATAAAACAGTAATTGTAATCTAAAAATAAAGGTGTAGGTGTCTATAGGAAATGCATAATCGTGACGTGTAGTGGTTATATAATGTCCAAAAATTCTTTAAATCTGGTGTGATCTCCAAGTAGCTTCCGTAAAGTCCCAGAATACTTTTTCTCCTTAGGTGGGTGTGCTAATCAACATACAGAATGCGCACTCACCAGATGCGCTAATAAAAAGCGCGTTGTATCATATACTTCTGGTCATTCACGGGTCCCTCGGGTAATCCAGGATGTAGCCTGGGGGTAGATGGTCTCCCTTTTAGGTGCTAGGATGTGATGGGCAGTATTGATCAACCTCTTCAGGATGCTGGGACATTCACTGGAGATGGTGCTAGGGGATTTAAGGTGCTCAATGCAGAGCACAAATTAGGGATAATCCCATAGTGTTGTATTTAGATGTTGCATTATTAATGGTAATACCCCTTTTGAGAATGAACGCTGAGTTCGAAAGGCGTTGAGGAGCCCTTGCAAGCCATTGACGTCAAGCCGTCGGATCACGGGGATCCGACGGCCACTTCATTTTACCAGCTGGTCAGTTATCTATGCGCGTATCTCATGCGATTATTATTGTGGCATTTCCATTTATTACTGCAGTTTTGTACGTTCTTTTAACCCATTTTAACATTACCATTAATAAAGCAACATCTAAATACTACACTATGCGATTATCCCTCATTTTTGCTCTGCATTGAGCACCTTAAATCCCCTAGCACCATCTCCAGTGAATGTCCCAGCATACTGAAGAGGTTGAACTATCAATACTGGCCATCACATCCCAGCACCTAAAGGGAGACCATCTACCCCCAGGCTACATCCCGGATTACCCCTGAGGGACCCGTGAATGACCAGAAGTATATGATACAACGTGCTTTTTATTAGCGCATCTGGTGAGTGCGCATTCTGTATGTTGATTAGCACACCCACCTAAAGAGAAAAAGTATTCTGGGACTTTATTGAAGTCACTTGGAGATCACACCAGATATAAAGAATTTTTGGACATTATATAACCACTACGCATGTCACGATTATGCATTTCTTATAGACACCTACACCTTTATTTTTAGATTACAATTACTGTTTTATTACAGATTTGTGGAGTGCAAGACTAATAGTTGTCCTGTGGACAGATTCTTACATCTGAGCTGTGGAGATCTGCAGCTGCTCCAGAGTTCCATGGGCCTCTTGGCTGCTTTTATTAATGCTCTCCTTGCCATAATCTTTCCATTTTCAAATGATGGATTGAGCAGTGCTCCGTGAGATGTTCAAAGCTTGGGATATTTTTTCACAACCTAACCCTGCTTTAAACTTAATCCATAACTTTATCCCTGACCTGTCTGGTGTGTTCCTTGGCCTTCATGATGATCTCTAATATTGTCTAACAAACCTGAGGGCTTCACAGAACAGTTGTATTTATACTGAGAATAAATTACACACAGGTGGACTCTATTTACTAATTAGGTGACTTCTGAAGGCAATTGGTTCCTCTAGATTTTAGTTAGCCGTATCAGAGTAAAGGGGGCTGAATTCAAATGCACGCCACACTTTTCAGATTTTTTTTTTTTTTTTTTTTTTTTTAACATTTTTGAAAATCATTTATCATTTTCCTTCCAATCCCAATATAATAGATTTACGTTTTTGGCTGTACCATGAAACACAATTTGGAAAATTTCAAGGGGTATGAACACTTTCAAGGCACTGTTTGTGATCACTTTTATACAGAAATTGCGCTTTTGTTTTTATATAATCTCAATATGAAAAAAAAGCACCGATACAGGTGCCTGAAAAAACCCCGCCGCCCGGTAGTTCTTAGCCTTACCTGCCAAACCATTGAACGATCCCGGTGCTGGGCATAGAGATTAGTGAAGGAAAGATGGCCTCCACTCATCTCTATGCGCTTGGAGGACTGGAGTGATGTCACTTCCGGTTCCGGTTATTTTTTTCTTTTATCACTAGATCAATGCTTTTTTTGATCTAATGCTTTACATTGTAGAGGAGATATGTGGGATCTTTTTGACCCCATATCTCTCCATAAAGCGGACCTGTCCCTAATTATGTCTATCGCAAGGGATGCTTGCTTTCCTTGTGATGAGAATAAAGGTGATTCAAACTTTTTTTTTTAATTTAAAGAGACAGTGCAAAAAATAACCCCCCCCCCCAAAAAAAAAAAAACTTTAAAGTGCCCCTGTCCCCCCGTGCTTACATGTAGTGGTGAACGCATACGTAGGCCATGCCAACATATGTAAACGGTGTTCAAACCACACATGTGAGGTATCGCCACGAACGTCAGAGTAAGGGCAATAATTCTTGCACTAGACCTCCTCTAACTTTACATTACTAACCTGTAGACATTTTTAAAGCATCGTCAATGGAGACTTTTAAGTACTTCAGTTTCACGCCATTCCCAGAGCATGCACAATTTTAAAGTGTGACATGTGTATCTATTTACTCCCTGTAACATTCTTTCATATTTTACCAAAATATTGGGGTATATATTTGTTTTTTTTTTTTTTTGTTTTTTTGTTTTTTGGGGGGGGGGGGGGGGGGGGGGGGCGTTTTTTAGCATTTGCTGTAGGCATCGTTTGTGCAAAATTCAAAATGAGTTATGGATTTGTTAAAATGTAATATACTGTAATTATAACAACTTTTTATTTCAGTTATGTTTTTAAAATATTGCTGATATGTTCTTGATCTCACATTGGTGTGTCATAGTTCTTCACCGTAGAAACCAGTCACCCTAATTCATGCTGACAAAACATTGTGGGTGATTGTATGGCCCCGTCCCATTAACTGAGCATACACACTAAAAATAGAATACCCTATGTACATCTTGCGTTGATGAATGTCAGTGAAAATATCAGATAATCCTGTCTAATTTTATAGATGATTACGTGTTGACAAGATGATAAATTACTCTTTAGGATGACATGGCTTAGTGTAGCTATGGTCAAAATTTAAAATTTATATTCTCTCATCCCTGCTACAGCCCCCACAGATATTTAAGCTTGTATGGTTGGCAATACCTGTAAATAGCAAGGCACATTATTATATGGTCACTGTACTCAGACCAATAGCTGAGCAAAATTACAAATGTCTGGCAAGTATGTGATGTAGATTTTACGTGTGCACGTAACAGGGTAGAGATTTGCTAGTTTACGTTTAGCGCATATTTTGGGTAGTCTACAAAATCTCTCAGCTTACCCAGTTAGCGGCAATTAACCTATCATACAGATACAGTTCGGAATATGAGCAGTATCTAAATCAAACTTTAAGACTCCTACTTTTTTTTTTCTTCCAGGGCATACTAGCATGTTAATTGAGGGCTCGTTCACACCATGGTGCAGAGACGTCAGGTTTCTGCACACATTCTGCAAGGGCACAACAAAATCAGATATTCTCCATGTGCCCTGTTCACACCACAACACTAGTATCACATGCTAGAAATCTGTAATGTGTATAAAACTCATTGAAGCACGCATGTAAACTGATGTCTGCAAGTGAAATCTGCAGGTCAGTTTTTCTGCACATATGGTGTGAACGAGGTTTGAATGCTGAATTAATGTTGCGGCAGTTATGTTGTCCAAGATCTCAGAGGCGATTATACTTCATACCTGTAAGCAACTTTTAGAATCTTCCAAAATCTGTGTTCCCTAATGTTACACTATGGATGTCAGGCTGTTCTGATTAGGCAAAGCTTGAGCACTTTCATTGCGATGAGGCTTGCCTGCTTTCTCTTTCCTCCCTCACTTTCCTGTTGGTTAGTGAGGCAACTCATCATTGTCAAGATCCAGTCAGAATGTGGAGGGATTGGATTTGCTGGCAAGCTCTGTCACTATATGGAAGGATCAGAGTTTTGCCTGATGAGAACAGCCTGGCATTTGGGAGAACCAGAGGATGCTGAAAGTATCTGCAGGTATGTATCTTTGGGTGCCTGCTCTGCATATGTCAACGGGTTTCAGTAGCCTTAAAGGGAAGAGCCTTTTTAAATCTGTCTAAAAAAAGAGCAGTAGAGGAATAGAAATTAGTACTGCTACATATATGAGTCCTTTTTGTGTTGTCAACAGCATTTTTTGTGCACCTATTGTTTTTATCTTATTTTATGAAACATTTTTTTTTTTTTTCCAAGACACAGAAAAATCTGCTGATGAGCACTCTTCATAAACTTCATGACAAATTGGCAAAGACTGCAGGTAATGCTTGTAACTTTACCTTCTAGGTTGTGCATTTACTTTCCAGTGGGCCCCACAAAAGTAAAAGCACTTTCTGTGGCAAAAATATTTATTGATCCTTTTTTGGTGATCATGTACATGTGTAGATGTATATAGTGGAAAATGTGTGCTCTAAAAGGTGGGACATTATTTCCATGCACGTTCTTCATTGACACCTCAAACTAATCAGGAGTGTTGGCATGACATGCAGGCATCTAGTATTGGCAAAGTTCAGCAGTGATGGTCTCCGTAGTTGGGAAGGGTGCAGTAAAGTGAACCTGTTATTTTGCCCCAGATTCACTGTAAGTGGGCTATTTTTAGTGTCTGCAATTCAAAATAATCTGTATTGCAATGCTGCCTGATTTGATTTGTTAGAAAAACTCTTGTAAAATCAGAGGAAAAATGTACACCACTTTTTGATAAAACGTTTAATTGGACAGCTATAAAATCTTGCACTGTACTTTAATGTTTATTTCATGCAGTCATCAATTCTCTGTCTCTAGATGCAAGAGATTTCTGGAGGCTTATTAAGTGACAACCTGAATACCAGGGGAGAGTAGATTACACACACTGCAGAATCTGAGTTGAAATGCGCACCCTTTTTCAGATTATACATTATTGTGAAACAAAAACCAGACCAGTAGGTTTACCAGTACTGGTGCTGTTGGGTTTGTTCAGTTTGATGAAGTGGGAACAAATGCAGAAGCACAATGTAGTTGTATAGTTTTTGCCTAAAAGTGCCAAGAACGCATGGCTCCATTACTGTAAGAGGGAGTAACGTTGACCCCTCTGACCTTTTGGTATATAGTGACAGCTACCATTTAAAAATTCAACTTCTTGGTATGAACAAATATTTAGTTGATTTTTGTTTGTTTGAATGAATTAAGTTAAGCAGTTGTCAAGACTTGAGATGGGACTCGCACCAGAGTCAAATTGCTGGTGCACAATATAATCAGTTCTACCTCCGAGAGATGACTTGTGTGAAATGAAAATGACTGCAACAGAATGTCTGAGGTTTTAAAAATCCTCTCTACCTATTGTGGTACTTGCTATGGAGAAATAAAGTGCATAATATGTCTAATAAAAATGGACGGCAGTCTTGATCAATGTACGAAAAACATAGGTGTGCAGTCTTCATGATTGCATGCCTTCTGTGTACAGGTTTTTCAATTTTTCTGTTTAACTGGTTCCCGGCCTATGGCCGAATGGCGGCCGGCAAAAACCCTCGTCCATCCGGGTGGATGCCATATGGTGTCCTTCCAGGCATGCGCAGTTTGCATGCTAGCAGAGCCGCGTAGCTGCGCGATCTGTCACCGGCCATGTATTTCGAACACGGCCGATGACAGATCTGTGTACCAGCCCCGTTGCCAGTACCATGTGACCTGCCAGTACCATGTGACCTGCTGTGACCAATCACAGCAGATCACATGACAGTTGTATACAATGGATGGCTTCCTATCATGCCATCCTTTGTATACAAGTGTGGCTAGATGTGAATGGTCACAGCGATCACATGCACAAGCTGGGCCAATCACAGCCCAGCTGTGTCATGTGATTAACTGTGGCCAAATCACAGTTAAGAAAAAAAAAAAAAAAGATCCTGAATGAATAGATTTCATTCAGGTAAATGTTTGCTTATTCCAAAGTAATTCTTTGCTATAAGCAAATTGTGTAAAAAAAAAAAAAAAAAAAAAAAAATAAATAAATAATATATATATATATAGATCACTTCCCGAAAGTAGTAACGTTACTATGGTAACACTATTCTACTTTGGTCATAGTGAAATATGAAAAAAAATCTTAAAAATTGATAATTTAAAATTTTTAATTTTTATTCCTTTTTTTTTTCTCTTTTTTCTACTGTCACCAGTCAGTGTCTCTGATCAAAGCCATGCCAGTTATATGATGACGCTGTACTGCACTGGTGACAGTATGTAAAAAAAAAAAATGTGAAAATCTTTTTTTTGTGTTTTGTTTTTTTTATTCATTTCCGAAAAATTATGACAAAAAAACTACAACTTCAGAAAACTTGCCATGCCTGAAGTACGTTGGACCATCTACTTTGCAAAAAGGGGTCATTTGGGGGATATCTGTTCTGTTCTCACATTCTTGGACCTCAAGAAATTAGATTGGCCGTCAGTACTTCAGGATTGATCAACATTCAGATATATACCATAGTTTGTGAACTCTATAACTTTCCTACAAACTAAATAATAAATATTAATTTGGGTTATTTTCACCAAAGACATGTAGCAGAATACATTTTGGCCTAAATTTTATGAAGAACAATTATTTATTTGCAAACTTATAACAGAAACAAAGAAAAACGTGTTTTTGTTTTTTTTTTTTTCAAAATTTTTTTTTTTTTTTTTTTTTTTTTTTTTAATTTTAGCAAAAAATAAAAACCACAGCGGTGATTAAATACCACCAAAAGAAAGCTCTAGTTGTGTGAAGAAAATGATCAAATTTTATTTTGGGTACAATGTTGTTTGACCGCGCAATTGTCATTCAAAGTGTGAGAGCGCTGAAACCTGAAAAATGGCCTGGGCAGGAAAGGGGGTAAAAGTGCCCGGTATGGAAGCGGTTAAGATGATGTAAGCTTATTTTGTTTAAAGTTTATAGGAATAACAGATGCTGGCTTTACCATTCAGGTTTCTTGTGACTATACTACGTGATAGATGGTAAAATCAGAAGGGTGTTTTTGTTCTGTATCCGATTAGGGAGATTTCCTATTCAGTTCTGTCCTGTAGACACTGATGGAAGTCAAAGGGAATTAATTGAAAGTGAGGTAAATCTTGTCTTGGACAGTTATCAGTATTTTTCCCTATTCTACTGCAGTTTTACTGATATCTTGGGATATTAGGATATTTATGGCTTGTAGTTGCTGGTATTCATGTTTTTCTGTTTCATTCTTGCAGGAGATTATATTTGTGGTGATGCAGAATATGGTCGTAATTTCCGTCCAGGAGGCAGCTGAATATTTACAGGTTGGTACTGGCCTAGTTCTCAGTTGCTGCTGACTCTTGTCAAAAAGATCAATAATACTTTTTTCATTCTGTTTTCCCTGCAAAATTTAGACCTAAAGGTACTCAGTTGAAAATAAAATGTAGGTCTTTTTAAAGCATACAGGGAGTAGAGCCTGCTAAGGTTTTCAGGTATTGCTGTAGTGTTTTAAAGTGTCAGCAATCTGATGACCTGAGAGGCCCTTTATTGTACACCTATTTTTTGTGTTTTCCAAAAAAGTATGTGCTTACTGTGGTTCCATTTCGAATTAATTTCTAATGCAACTTAAAATCTAAATTCAACAGGGTTTAGGTCAAGAATATATTGGTGAATTTAACAACTCCTTAAAATGGATTTTACAGTCTGGGAAAGATGTTGGAATAAAGTAAGTATATGATTTATTATAAACATACTTGCAACATGTGTGCAAGCTCTCTATATCATTGTGAGACAAATTTAGAGACTGTCAGGTTTCCTGCAGGAGGATCTGAACATGGGCAAACAAACAATTTTGGACCAGCCCAATCTGACCCTTCCTACTCCGAGCATGCCATAGGTTTTTTTCCTAGTGTCCTGGGAGGATGGAAACCTTTCTTAACCACTTGACCTCCAGAACACTTTTGTTTTTTTTTTTTAAAAAAAAAAAAAAAAAAAAAAAAAATCTTCTAAAATTTTGCTAACCTGTGTGTGTGTGTGTGTGTATATATATGTGTAATATAAATAAATATATATTGTGTGTGTGTATATGACATTGTACTACTTGGGAAAGGGTTTCATAATGTACTGTATTTGCCCAAACCAAATAGATGGTGTGTGTGTGTGTGTGTGTGTCATTGTACTACTTGGGAGGGGTGATCATGGGTTTTTTTTTTTTTTTTTAGATTGCTGTATAAGCAATAGTTTGTTCATGAATGGGTTACCATTCATGAACAACTTGCTTATGGTTGTGATCTGTGATTGGCTGTAACTAATCACATGGTACAGGTAGCCAGGTACCATATGATTGCTGTGGACCAATTATAGATCACAGCCGTAAGCAAGCTATTAATGAAAAGGAATTCCATTCATGACAGTTTGTTTACATTGTTGTGAGCGCTATGACCAGCCTTGGCAATCACTTGATGCCACCCTTAACACGCAATAGGCAGGATGCCGTACATGTATGTGATCCAGCCTTGCCCATGCCACCCCGCCACAGTAAATGTACTGTGTCCGGGCGGCAAACAGTTATATACCACAGGACACAGAAGACTTCATATATTTGACTACATTGGTTATGCTGCCACCTTAAAATGAAAGTACAGTGGACAAAAAAGACTGGTATCCCTGCCATGGCAATAACCCCTTCCAGCTCAGCCTGTTTTTAGATAGAATCTTTTAGGTGAAGCCTGTCTATGAAGATTTCCTGCAGTTCCCTTAATTCCTGGCAATTACGAACATCCTGATGGTCTAAGGGGTGGGCTTCATCTAGCTCGGTCTCCAAAGCCAATTGAAGACTGTATCTACATGCAAGAGCGGAGAAGACCTGTAGTGTCTGCCGATCAGTGCTGTATCCTGTGCGCAACTATCTCCAGGGTAGAGAGTATCTGGTGTCAGGATTTCACTCCCCTGCTGAACGCCCCCCCCCCCCCTGCAGTTATGGACATCGTGGAGTTCCTCTGTATGTTAGTGGAGCAGTGTTTTCCTTTATTGTGGTGGATTGCAGGCAGATTTCTTTGTGGAGTAAGTTGCAGTGGTGGAGCACAAAAGGGGTGGTCCAGTCCAGTACAGCACATGCATTGACCTCACTCCTCTCTACCACTTTAACCACTAGCCTGCAGGGCACTTATACCCCCTTCCTGGCCAGGCCAATTTCCAGCTTTCAGCGCTGTTGCACTTTGACAATTGAGCGGTCATGCAACACTGTACCCATATGAAATTTTTATCATTTTTTTGTGACAGAGCTTTATTTTGGTGGTATTTAATCACCTCTGGGTTTATTTTTTCTTAAACCAAAAACCACTGAAAATTTTGGGGGAAAAAAGTTTTTTTTTTTTTTTTTTTTTTCTTAGTTTTTTGTTATAAAATTTTGTAAATAAGTGATTTTTCTCCACTGATGTGCGCTAATGAGGCTGCTTTGATGGGCACTGATAGGCTGCACTGATGGACATTGATAGGTGGCACTGATGAGGAGGCACTGGTAGGTGGCACTGATGGGCATTGACAGGCATCACTGATGGGCACTGAAAGGCGGCACTCATATGAGTGATCCGTGTACATGTCCCCTCTGAGGAATGCCGATTTACCGGCTCTCCTCTCAAGCTGTCAGAGTGACCGCTCATGAGGAGAGAAATGTAGATAACCGGCATTTCCCTATTTACATGCGATCAGCTGTGATTGGACCCGCTGATCACATGACCGAGCCGACATGTGTCTGAGGGACACAGCGCACCGCTGATCGCTGCGCGCTCCCAGAGCCACGCATGCGTGGTTAGAATGGGTGGACGTCATATGACGTTCTCCCAGAACGAGAGAACCGCCTTTCGCCCGTCGTACTATGACGGACTGGAGGTGGTTAAACCAGATCCTGAACATGAGATTGTATATGCCTTGCTGCTTTCTAAGCCTTGGTGGCGTGGGGAGGTCTTGTGACATTGCACTAATGGACCTCTGTCTGCTAAGCGCCCTTCTGCTACAAGCATTGCTCAGTAGCTGCCGGCTGGGTGGCCACATCCCTTTGGGATTTGTGGACCTGTTTAACCCTCAGCAAGCCATGACCCATGCAGGCAGAAAGGTGGAGGGGGGGAGAACAATGTGGTCAGCTACCAAATCCCTCCATCCAGTAGAGCGGAACCCTTAAATTTTTTCCCTTTTTTATATCTCCCTAAAGGGGCAGATTAGCTCTCCTTTTCTGTAATAAATAGTTATTTAACAATATAAGCCCAAATGGATGTCATCTTTCATTGTTTAGCTATACTGACCAATCATTGACCTTGTTACTTTGCTGTTTGACAAAGGTGTTCATTGTAACAAGTGGTACAACAATGTATTGGTTGCTCATTTTTGGACATCGATTTGTATCTTCTATAATGAAACAAAATAAAACGCATTGAAAATAAAATACCAAAATTTAGGATGGATTCCCTCCAGTCGGCGACATCTTTGCTTTATCCAGGGCGATCCTGGTGTCTGTGGATATAGAGGATGCCTACTCTCACATTCCCCCTCCCCCCCCAACCTCACCAATCGTTTCTGAAATTCACAGTAGAGGATCTGTTTGTGATTGTACCCTTCCACCTTCATTTCCCCCCCCCCCCCCCTCTTTGTTTGGCTCCAGTTGAGGACCCTGGATATCACCATTGAGGGGGTTCCTGGATGACTTGCTTGAAGGAGCAATCGGCTCAGGAACTGACATCCAGCAGATGGTACAATTTCTGGAGAAGTTTGGCTGGTTACTGAACCTTCAGAAGTCCACATCATGACTACCTGGGCTTAGTCCTTGTTGCGGCTCAGACAAAGGACAACCGATGCCAGCCTGTCAGCTGGAGATGTGTTCTAGAGAACTTCTGTTCAGCTAGTGCGGTTGTCAGAAGAGCAAATGTTGCCAATTTATATCTTTGAACTTAGGAACAATTCGTTTGGCTATCCTACACTGGTCTGATGGCATTCAGGGACTCCTTTTTCAGAGTGCAACTGAACAGTGCCACAGATGTGGCATACATCAACTATTAAGGAGGGACAAGAGGTTTTGATGCTTGGGAGGAAGCAGACCTGCTGATAGACCTTATTACGGCTCTCTGCAGTTCACAATCCCAACATGGAAAGAACATTGTCAAGGGGAATTCCTCACCTGTCAGCAGCTGAATCCGTTTGAATGGGCTCTTCACCTGAAGGTGTTCAGAGATTTGTGTGTGCAGTGGGACGCCACATGTAGATCCTTGGTATCCAAATTCAGCAGAAAACTGTGTTGTGTCCAGAACCAGTGATCCCCATGCATTTTTTGTGGAGCATGCCCTGGTGACTCCTGTAGATCAGTTTTTGCTGTTCTCTGCTTTTCTTCCAGATCATCTTCTATTCCATTATAGCGTAGTAGGTTACAAACAAGAATTTATTGAATAAACGCAGAATCTGCTCACAATTTGTCATACAGCATAAAAAGCAACTGCTGTTACTCCTGAGCAAGCACCCTGCATCTTTCTAATATACAGACAGCCTTCCAGCTACTCTGTGCTAAACCCTGGCTGCTGCCTTCAGATCACTATGGAGAGTACTGCCCCTTGATGTGATCCATTGCCTAACTTGTTGGCCTATTTGCTGTTGCCCACCCAGTCATGTTCAGTACCTTGAGATGTCCCAAGTAGTCATGTATATGAAGTCCTTTGTTTTGTACAACTCAGAAATTAGGATTAGATCCCTATCTTTGAGTACATCACAGGGCACTGAGATCCACCACTCTTTTTTTTCATAGCTTGCTACAAATCTGTGTCCTTGGTAGCTTCTGAGTCTTCAGCTGCCAAAATTGCCTGATGCCAAGCCTAAGTCCCTAATTGACAAACCTGCACTGGAGGTATTGCAGTGTTCTGCCATTACTCCAAAACTTCAAAAGAATGTTTCAGCCATCAAAGCATTGTGCACCACCTTAAAATTTGGGAGGTCAATCTGCAGTTTCAACCAGTGCTGTCCCCTTTCTTTGCACGTTAGCACTTCTAAGAACATTTAAGAACTTTCTGGTACTCCTGCTGTCCTGGGCTCTTTATGGAGTCTGGAAGAACCCTGGAAGTCTGTCAGCCTTGTACCCATTTTCAGGAGTATTTTGGTAAGATTAGAGAGACATATTTGCTGCACTCTTCTCAGACTTTATTGTACTCCCTTCCCCCCCCCATCATAGTGGGGACCGACAGGGCAAGATTGATGCATTTCCTGCACTGACAGAGCTTGTTGAAGTTAAGAATAAGCTCTGTCAATGTGTGAAATACGGCAATCTTGCCTTGTCCTGTTGGACCGCACTGTGATATTGCTTTTAATGAGAAGTGTACATTTATGCACTTTTTTTTTTTTTTGTTTAATACACACCATAGTTTGTGGACTCTAATTTTTCTACAAACTAATATACACTGATTTGGGTTATTTTCACCAAAGAAATGTAACCGTATATATTTTGGTCTAAATTTATAAAAAGATTTGCAAAAGTTTATAACAGAAATTAAGAAACAATCAATCTGCCCCCCCACCCCCGGTCAAACACCACCACCAAAGTACCATCAAAAGAGCTCTAAAAATTCACGTGTTTACCAGCCCTCTTCTTTCCCTGAATGAATACAGTGATCGCTTCTGTGTTGCCTCATCATTGAAGCATAGTAAACGGTTGTGTACATGCATTTTTATGTGTGTTTCATTGAAGTATATGGAATGAAAAATGCAGGCATAAAAGGCCCTGACCCTTTCCAAAAAAAACACCAGTTGAAAATGCACATATGTAAACTTATCTCATAGGAAATCATGTTAAATGGACAGTACTGTGTTTCTGCAAATTTTGAAAACACACTTGCTAAAGGCATAGTTGTGAACCTTGCCTAATACAGCAGTTAGTGTTACTAAACTCACAACAGTAAAATCAGTCTGTGCAGTAAAGCATACTGGTTATACTCACTGTGGTACCTATGGAGTTAATCCTCTGCATAGTGTAAAATGGATGTTTGATCCTGTCTTCTGATTCTCCCCTTCTACTGTCCCCAATCCATTTGCTGATAGAACAGAGCCTTCGGGGGCAAGCTACACATGTTCAGTTTGGTGTGTATTGCTAGGTTTTTTTTTTTTTTTTTTTTTTTTTTCCTTGGAAAAGTGCATGTGATCAGCACAGTCCAGAGGGTCAAGGGTTATGCAGCTCCTCCTACAAGCTTTAACCAGTGCTCTTCTGGACACTGATAGAAGTCACAAGACTGCTCTAACTGCTGATGAGAAAAGGTATTTAGCTGTTTATATTTACTAAACAATTGCATTTCCATGTTCTGTGTACTGTGGGAGATCAAATATAGTGAATGCAGGGGCCTGGGTTTAGTAACTGAGAGAAGGAATCTAATTTGTAAAAGTGCTATGGACTGTACTAATGATCCAACTTTTTAATTTCAAACTGTGCTTTATGAATGTTTTCAAGATGCATTTTACGAATATTTTTGTTTTTAAATAGGTGTTCTGGGGATTTGGTAGATGATGATCACTTAAATATCACCAGTGTAAAGTACTTGGAATCTACACGGCCACAGATGTCCTTTCTATGTCGCATTCGACGTGCAGTTATTACTGTAGCTTATAGGCTGTCACTTTTTACCTCTAGGTAATTTTCTTCCATTCACTTGTGTGAATTAATGTGTACTAGTTAGGCACCTTTATAAGGTCATGCATGAACGTCCTTGCAATGTTGAACAGTATTTTTTTTTTTTTTTTCTTTCAGCTCTGATTACTAAAATTGTGTTTTTTGTTTTTTCATTGATAATATCAGCATATGTTATGGCCATGAGTGCCTTTTTGTTTTTTGGGCTATATGCTTAGACAACCTAGTTCTCTAAGTAGATGGGTCTCCTGTCCTCCTTTTTTTTTTTTTTTTTTTTTTTTTTTTTTTTTTTTCTTTTTTTTTTTTAATGGTTTCAGTGGAAGCTGGAGAAATGAAGAAACATTACTGCATGGTTTCTTGACTCTTCTCAAACCCTCCATGGCACTAAACATCTGTAGGAAGAGATTTTCTTTTGAAAAGAGCAGTTAGCTACTGTGCATTGCATTCATAACCTATCATGCCTTTTGATATTTGCAAAAATTAACTAGTTGCATAATTACTAATATTGTAGTCTACTGTGAATCTATGAAGAATATATACATTTTTACGTTTGTTTGTTTTATGCAGGCATTGCTGCTGTCTGGGCTGTTTTTCGATATATGAAATATCGTTGGGCAAAAGAGGAGGAAGAAACTAAACAAATGTATGACCTGGTCATAAAAATTATAGGTGAGCCATAACCACTTCAACACCAGGCCCGTTTACCCCCTTCCTGCCCTGGCCACTGTTCAGGTTCTCTCACAGTTGAATAACAATTGCGTGGTCCTGCAACACTGTACCCAAACTAAATTTTATCTTTTTTTCACACTAGAGCTTTCTTTTGGTGATATGTAATCTCGACTGGGTTTTTTATTTTTGTTAAATGAAAAGACCGAAAATTTTGAGAGAAACAAAAATGTATTTTTGGTTATAAAATTTTGCAAATTCATACATTTAGGCCAAAATGTATATGGCTACATGAAAATAACCCAAAATAGTGTATATTTAGTCCATAGAAAAGTTAGTCCACAGACTATGGTATGTATCTGAAAATCCATCAGCCCTGCTATACTTAAGGATGATCTAATTTCCTAGGGCCCAAAAATGTCAGGACAGTACAGATATCCTTCAGATTACCCTTTTTTGAACAGTAGACAGTCTGCGGTATTTAGTAAGAAGCATTGTGAGTTTTTTGTAAAATGTTTGGAAAATAAAGAAATTAGATTGTTTTCACTTTTTTAAATAAAATAAAAAATACATTTTTACATGTAGTTACCAGTGCAGTACAGTGTCGTCATAACTGGTGTGACGGTGATCAGGGACACTGGCACAGTTCACTGGGTTCCCCACTGACAGCTGAATGTAAGGAAAAAAATTGCTGGCAACTAAAAACTGTGGGGGTCCCTCCCCCCCATCCATACCAAGCCCTTCAGGTCTGGTTTAGCTTTTGAGGGGAATGCCCATGCAAACATATAAAAAAGTGGGGTCCCCTCCCCGAATTCCATACTAGACCCTTATCCAAGGATGCAGGTCAGGAAAGGGGGGGGAACGAGCGGATCTACTAAAGGGGACATTCTTTTATTTTCCTTCTTTTAATAAAGGACTTATCAAAGCCTGTCTCCTATCTTTGTTCACACTACAGGTTTTTTTTTGTAAATGGGTAGCGGTACCATATACCCCATACGCATTCACAAAGGGGTAGGGGTGGCACCTGGGGGGCCCCCTTGTTAAAGGAGACTTCTGATAAGCCCGCAGACCCCCACAACCACCGGCCAGGGTTATTGGGAAGAGGGCCTTGTCCCCATCAACATGGGGACAAGGTGTTTTGGGGATGAAGAAATCTCTGCGGAAAAAAAAAAAAACTTAAAAATATATGCCAAAGAACCCTTTGACCACACCAGGCTCCCATGCTTGGGCACGTGTTTTTTTTTTTTTTTTTTTTTTTTTTTTTAACTGCGGATGAGAAATCTCATCCAGGAGAGCTGCACGCACTGATGTATATTGTGAGAGCACACTCTGTTGCTGTCAGAATAAACTGGTGCTGCAGCTAAATGGCATTCCTGCAAAGAAAACCGCAATGGTTAACAAAACTATTTTGCTTTTTTTTTTTTTTGTTTTGTTTTTTGGTTTTTTTTTGGTTTTTTTTTCTGGCTTTGCAGGAAACTAAGTATAGCTTTATCTGGTCATTTAAGTCCACCCCTCCCATCTTAAGGTTATAGTTGTGCACACAGAGGGGCTTCTCAACAATACCAGCTGCTGTGGAGATTTTAGAAGTGTGTGTGTTTTAAGACAGGACAAACACATGCAGTTTGTTTCTCCATTTTACTGCAAGCAATTCATAATTTTTCAGGCAGGCTTTCTCCCCCTTTTTTAAGTTGGGTAATTACAAGCCGTTGGGGGAAGTCCCGGTGATTAGGTCGCATGGTGTCACATGCGCCAATTCCAAGACTGTACAAATGTCGGCCAGAAAAATGAATGAGGGACTCATCAATGCAGATGTTTTGTTGGGACATATATATCTGGTTAAGATTTACAAGGACTGCATTTTCTGGAGTCGGCCATATTCAGGGTCGACCTGAGGACGACGTTATCACTGAAATGCATAAATCACATTATATTCTCATTTATGCCTGGTCATGGCAGCAGAGAACACAGGCATATGATGAATTGAGTCTGTAGCCCAATAGGCCCCGAAAAAAACTTTAAATTCGGAAACGTAATCTGTTTCCTTGCAAATGGTCTGACAAGGTTTGAATGTGGGTTTGCGGCGATAAATTGCTTTTGTCCACAATCAAATTTTACAAATAGTCTGTGAAAAACCACTCCAAAAAATTAAGGAGTAGTTAAATTTGCAGTTTCCACCTGAATTCCAGGTTGGGCAGTATGGGTGCTGCAGAATTTGTGGGCTGCCAAAAAGGATTTGCAAGCACATCAGGAAGGACACTATGGCTCTGTTTGAATTCTCGGTGGCTGCGGGACACTACTTGTGCTAGCCACCGCTCTAACTTTTACTGCACTTATGGCACTCGCCACGTCATCAAGTGATACTGCAGTCCTGGTATGTAAAAGACCAGGATGTACTAGGCTGCTGGTGCTTTTCAGTTCACAAACAGGTAGAGCAGCACTAGTACTGGCACTCCTGCTGCATATGAGAATCATCATGCAATTGTAACACCTCAGCAGCCAGGGAATGGGGTTGGGTATACCTGACCTTAGCAGGGGCTGTCAGGGTGCCACTGCTTTCTACAGGTTCATATTCTGAGCCGAATTCTGTCAGTGAGGCTTCCCCTTCTCTCTCATCTGACATACTCCGAATCCTGTACGCTTCTTCACTAGTGTACCTTATGTTGGACATTTGGCCCCTAAATTGTATGGATACCTAGTGCGACTCACGGGAAAAAGAGCATCTGGACTGCTTGAACTGCTACAAAAAAATTTACTTGCTAGTGCTAGCACAGAACAGGCCTGATCTTGCTAACCCTGCAGTTTTATGTGTAATGTATCCGTGACAGTGATCTACTGACGCTGCACTTGCTGTGGGAGGAGGTTAAGCGTAGGGGCTAAACTCAGGTGCTGGCAGGTGTCAGGACTGATCCTGCTAACGCTCTGTTTTTGGGGACACTATACTATTGTGAACGCTGGTATAGTTCTGATCAAAGATATTGATCCGTTCAGACACTATACTAGCAATGGAGGTTTGTGTATGTGAGCGTGTTCCTGGCAATCAAAAGGTTAAATGTAACGTATGATGTGCCGGGCAATCTGATGCTGACTGTAACGCTATCTGAAGTCACCCATGATCAGTAAAAAAAAAAAAAAAATCTGTACTCTGACACGGCACGGAAAGGGTTAACTGGAGGGCAATCGGGGTTAAATGTGACCTAACTAGGTTTGTTTTTTTTTTTTTGTGTGTAAAGTATGCTGCTTTTACTCACGTGGATATGCTTTCTTCTCCCTGGAATGGAATATGCTCCAGGGAGAGAAGATTGGCCATACCGAATCAGGGGTCTTCATGTGTTTGCATCATTTCCTGTGCCTGTGTAATGTAATCAGCAGGTCCAGGCCAAACATAATTGGCCTGAATCTGATGAGTGATTGGTGCTGTACTGAATTGCATCACCTGCGGGCGTTAACTCCTGCCGTGATCGCTTGTTACGTTGTACTACTCTGGGGAAGTGATGTGTGTGTATATGTACGTATGTGTAATAAAAATATATATTGCTTATAGTAGTGAATTTCACTGCTACAGGCAAGCATTTAACTTAAATCAATTCATTCAGTGTTTTTTGTTGTGATTGGCCACAGCCAATCGCATGACACAGATGGGCTGTGATTGGCCCAATCTCTACCATGTGATCACAGCGAGCAACACAATTGTATACAATGGATGGCATGAAAGGAAGCCATTCATTGTTTACAATCATTTTGTGACCCGCTTTGATTGGTCACATGGTACTGCCAACGGGCCAGTACACAGATCGGTAATTGGCTGTGACAGATCTGGCTGCAGCTCGGCTCCAATCCGGCAGGACGTCATATGACATCCATCTGGATCGACGAAAGTCCCGCTCAGCCGTCCTTTTGTTATTGGTCAGGCGAGAACTAGTTTAAATATGATTTATTGGCTTTTGGATAGGAAGAGAAATTTGTCAGATATATTCCAAAGGCAACCTCCAGTTCTGAGCAGTGTGGTATATATAAGCTGGCCACTTCTAATCATTCAACACCTTTTTAGTATCTGTAATTTTTAAAGCTATAGCTTTTTATTGATTCGCAGTTTATCCACTTGCCCTCCTGAGTATTTACCCCCCTTAATGACCAGGCCTCTTTTTGCTACTCGGCGCTGCACTAATTCAACTAATAATTGCGCGGTCATGCAATGCTGCACCCAAACAAAATTTACGTCCTTTTTTTTCACACAAATAGAGCTTTCTTTCGGTGGTATTTGATCACCTGTGCGCCTTTTATTTTTCACGCTATAAACAAAAAAAGACCAAAAATTTTGAAGAAAAACTATATTTTTTTTTTTACTTTCAGCTATAAAAAATATATAGTAAACTCAAAGTTAGTTAAAAAATTTAGGCCAAAATGTATTCTGCTAAATGTTTTTGGTAAAAAAAAAAATCCCAATAAGTGTATATTGATTGCTTTGTGTGAAAGTTATAACGTCTACTAACTATGGTATAGATACTGCAATTTACGCAATTTTTTTGCTATACAGCGCTGCGCTAGTTTAACGGACAATTGCGCGGTCATGCAATACGGTTCATAAATGAAATTTACATCCTTTTTTTTTTTTTCCCACAAATTGAGCTTTCTTTCAGTGGTATTTGATCTCCTGTGCTTTATTTTTTGCGCTATAAAAAAAGGTTGACAATTTTGAGGAAAAAAAACAATATTTTGGACTTTTTGCTATAAAACATGTCCAGTAAAAATGCCAAAATGCATTCTGCGATATGTCTTTGCTAAAAAAAAAAAAAAACCCATTACGTGTACATTACTTGAAAGTTATAGCGTTTACAAATGGCGGGAAAGATACTGGGATGTTTATTTTTTTTTTTTTATACTAATAATGGCGGCGATCAGTGACTTATGGCAGGACTGCAGCGGACATTCTGACACTGGGTGGGAACTGACTTGGGGTCACTGACATCCCCAGTTACACAAATACAGTGATCAGTGCAAAAAAAAAAAAACACTGACACTGTACTAATGGCACTGGGGAGGAAGGGGGTTAATGTTATTCAGTGAAAGGGTTAACTGTGTGAGGGGAGGGGAGTGTTTTACTAGGGGGCGGGGGTGTGTACTGCACAGGGACAAGCTGATCGGGGAGAGAGAAACTCTTCTCTCCTGCTCAGCATGTCAGGAGCTGTCAGGGAACTGACAGAGCAAAGCTACTGCAGCTGTGCTCTGTCAGTGATTGCCGCTAATCGCTGGGACACAGCCACTAACGACCGGCTGTGACCCGGCGACTGACATCCGCGGCCGTGATCGGCGGGACAGGTAGGGCGGTGGTGTGCCTCGCGCGCCCCCTACCTGTTTTGAAAACACACGTTTTTAAAACGTGGTTTTGCCCCGTGCCGCCCTGCCAACGTATTTCTACAGTGGCTGGGCGGCATGTGGTTATAAAATATGAAGTTAACAGCTAGGAAGAACTTTTCTTATAGCTCTTATTTGCTTATTTACTCTTTGAACCTAGTTTTAGAAAGCCCTAGAGTGAGGCTAAATGGTGTTCAAGCGGTGATCCCTACACCTTCTGAATGCCTGCATGTGGTGGTTCTTTTTTTGTTTTTTTTTCTCCCTTTTTTATGGCAATGCGGTAGTTGCAGCACTACCTCATTGACTTGAGTGGCCGAACTTAATAGGACATTTAAATTTTTTTCTGTGGCATGTGAACAGCCTTCTCTGACTGTATTTTAGACTTTAGGTTGGCCATGAAAAAGGGCCTAAAACTTGTGTGGAACTGCGGACGCAGTACAGGGGATGACCAGAGACTGCAGACGCAGGACAGGGGAGGGAGGGGGAGCGGGTACCTGAATTTGACAGGCACCCACTTCCACTGAGTTGTCCTCCCTTTAGTGTGGGCACCTGGCTGTGATAGCCGGGTGCCCACTGTGCATGCGCGAGAAGCGCTGCGCTTTGTGAATGGCCCGGCGTCTCCTGGGACCTGTCGTGTTCCAGAAGACGCCGGACCATTCACAAAGCACAGAGCCCACACTAAAGATGCTGGCGTGGGAAGACTGTACAGCACTGGACCGAGGAATAGGTAAGGTCCTGCTGTAGAGAAGAGCTGAGCGGCCGGCCCATTATTCTGACACGGTGGCGGCAGCGGAAATACTGGACTGGTCACTCCATATTCGCTCCATAAGACGCACTGACATTTTCCCCCCTTTTTTGGGGGGGGCAAAAAGTGCGTCTTATGGAGCGAAAAATACGGTATTCTGTTTTACTGTTGCAGTCTTTTAATATTGATATTGCTTTCATGTTTTTTACAGGTTTTGGTGCTCTATAGTTATAAAGAATTGTAGTTTAGCCACTATGAGGAGCACTATTTCTTTGCAATCACTTCTCTTCTTAATGGTTAAGATGAGCTTATAGGCTTTAGGGCTGAAACTGCTAATCAACATAATCAATGTTTCACTGTATTAACCCCTTTATAGTAGTGATTATAATTTTTTTTTCTTTTTCCTATAAAAGGCAAATTTTTGTTTAACATCATGACAGGTGATTAAAAAAAAAAAAAACATGCTACTGCTACTAAATGTCTTATGCTGGCCATACACCCTGATCTTCCAACTAGGATATACGTACAAATATTCGTATGAAAATTCTTTGTGTATTTGACGAATGAATGTCATTTGAAAATGTTACTTGCTTTTTAATGTTCAATTTTTAAAATGAAAATAATTTCTGAAATGTTACTTGCTTTTAATGTTCAATTTTTAAAACTAATATAATTTCTGAATGAAAACCAGTGTCCGAAAATGTGTTCAGCAAAGAAGTTTTCTATTCTGCTGCTTCAAATTTTCCCCGTCACTGTGGTTGAAAGCTAACTTCAATTTGATATCACTAGTAAATAGAAAATTGAACAAGCTTTCTTACAATGAAAATTTTCAAAGGAAAAATTAATTTTTGTATGGCCAGCATAATGCTTGGTACACACAATGAGATATCCCCCTTTAAGAACACAAAGGCACAGCAGGACCTACAGCATTAGCATCACTCAGTACACCAATCCTCCCCCCCAGCGCGCTGGGTTGAACGAAAGAAAACTGTACCAGGCATGACTAAAGGCAGTCGCAGGTAGCTTATATCATGCAACCTGCATAGACAAGGGAGTTTGTCATGCATAATGTTATATTCCAGTCCTGTCTGAAAATCTGCAAAACAGCATTTTTAGGTCTTTTTGAGGGTGTTTTTTTTTTTTTTTTTTTTTTTTTTTTTTCCCCTTTCTTCTTCCCCTTTTGAATACACATTTTGATCTGAGTCTGATATGTACCAGATTCCACCTCCTAATAGTATATACTGTCGTCCTCAGGATTCGATGTTAACCATATAGCTGGTTATTTATATTTACCACTACATACAGATATTCAAGAATACATTTTTTTTTTTTTTTAAACTTTGCATATTAACTAAATTTTACACCAATGGTTTTTAACCAATTAAATGAAACAATCTGCAACTAATCGATTTTGTGTCAAAAACTGGCTAAAAGACTATTCAGAGTAGTGGTTGATGATTCATACTCTGAATAGTCTAGGGTTGTTAGTAGTGTACCCCAAGGTTCAACATTGGGACCCTTTTTACTAGATTTATAAATGATATAGGGTCTGGGATTAAAAGTACCATTTCAGTGTTTGCAGATGACACCAAGCAATCAAGTGTAGTAATGTCCTTTACAGGAGGTTTCCAGCTAAACAAGCAGACCTCAGTGCACTTGGTTTATTGGGCAACCGTGTGGCAAATGGGGTTTAATATTGATATTAGTATAGCTATGCACTTGGATAAAAATATGCACGCATCATACATACTAGGGGGGTACAACTGGGGGAATCAATGGTGGAGAAGGATCTGGGAGTTCTGGTAGATCACAAGCTTAATGGCATGCATTTCCAAGGTATGATTTCCAAAACTCTAGCAATCCTTTTTTATTTATTTATTTTTTTTTTGTAAGAGTTATGCACTGCAGAGGGAGAGATATCATATTACCCCTGTACAAATCATTAAACCTCATCTGAAATACGCAGTTCAGTTTTGGGCACCAATTCACAAAAAGGATATTGAGAAACTGGGAAAAAATGCAGAGAAGGTCAACCAAACTGATGCACACCACCCCGCTCCACATTTAACACCTTTTGAGGGGAAGGGGGGTGCGGGTACCTGGTTGTGACAGATTCCCGCTCTGTTTCACGGCGTAGAACTGAGCTGGCAGTTTTCCCAAATGCACATAACTGGATACAAACATTTATAGGTAGAGGTGTTCCAGGGAATATCTGATTGCCTCTTGCGGGATCAGAAAAGAATCCCCCCCCCACTCCCAGAGTCTTCAGGAGGGTAGGAAGAATGGGTTCTCAGGTTAGCTAATGCTTGAGCCAAGGGCAGATGGATTTCAGGAAGTAAATACTACATGAATCATCTGCCCTTACTCAAGATGGCCACTGCCAGAAATGCCGGGGGGGGGGTTCAAAATGAATTCTCAGCAAAAGAAATCATTGGAGAAATGGATGGATGGGTGAGATTGCTTTGAATATTAACAATTAAATCGCATTTTTGGTTTGTGGTACGCAGATGCAGTACAGTTCCACTTTAAATATGTAACTATGAAAATAGTTGCAGCCATAATAGGCTTCATAGGGTGCACTTTTTTTCTGGGGGGGGGGGGGGGGGGGGCGGCGGCAATTTATAGTCTTTCATTGTGAGCGAGCAGTAAAGCACAACCATGACTTGGCACTGCAGTAGCAGGAAGCAGAGCTTTTATGCTGAATTAAAAACCACACCCTCTTTGAGTTATTTAATCACAAATTACATTTGTGACAGTATACAGATTACTTTACAGTTAAAGCAATTGTTTTAAAACAAAGATTTACATTAAGCTGATATATTACCTTTATTGTAAACCTCCTTTCTAACGTCTTCACAGATTAACATTCTCAGGCAAGGTTCTTAATGCTGAGATAAAGCTGATCTACAGGCTATTGTGCATGATCCTAGTTCTGAGACTGCGGTCTAGAAGAAATGTGCATCAATATATTGGTAATCGGCTGCTTGCATTTTTTTTCCTAGATGTTTTGAAAAGTCATGGTGAAGCTTGCCAAGAAAACAAAGAACTTGATCCATATACACCAATCCCACATGTGAGAGACTCTTTGATCCCAGCTTGTGACAGGTTAGTTCTACTTTTTTCAGTGCGGCAACATTTTAATTAGTAGTGCAAATTGGCTGGAAGTTAAATATCCTTGTAGTGAACCAGATTTCTTCATTTTTGCTTGGGACAGTTTTTAGCCCTGTGTACAGTCTGTCCTAAAAGTGCCATGGATCCTAACACTCCTTAGTGTTACTAAACCCACAACCGTAAAATCAGTCTGTATATGCAGTAAAGTATGCTTGTTATACTCACTGTGAAGCCTAAGGGGTTAATCATCTGCATTGTGTAAAAAGGCTTTTTGATCTTGTCTTCTCTGCTCCTCCTCCTTGTTCAAATGTCCACGTCTTATCTCCTGATAAGACAGACTGAACCTGTAGCCATTCTGCACATGCTCTGTTTAGTGTGTATTGCAAGAGGTGTGTTGGTTTTTTTTTTTGTGTTTGTGTTTTTGTTTTTTTTGGGGGGAGAGAGTGCATATGATCAGCACAGGGGCAGTTGGCACTGCCCAGACAGAGGTCAGGGGTTTTGCATCCTCCTAGAGCAGAAAGAAAATTACAAGCTTTAAGCGGTGCTTGGCTGGGAACTGATAGAAGTCACAAGACTGCTATATATTGCTGATATGAAAAGATATTTGGTAGTTTATATTTACTAAAATAATTGCACTTCCATGTTCTGTGTACTGTGGGACACCAGGTATAGTGAATACAGGTGCCTGCGTTTGGTAACACTTTTTAAGACTAAATTCAATTTAAAAAGATTAAATTGAATCTGCATTGACCTCTTACATGATTGCACTAAAAAGAGCTATTTGCCACAATCTCATGCAGGAAATAACAGTTCTTAGTAGTGACACATTGGCAGAGTTTTAAGAAGATGTTTGGACCATTAGTTTAATGACTTGGGTTCAGTTTGATTAACTTTATTGTATAGATGTGTTTGTTGCGAACATGTTTGAATCCACTTACTGCTGGCTGATTCCCTACCTTTGCTGGAAGTCTATTCCAAGAATGAACTACTCTTTCAGTAAAATACTTTCTGCTTTTAGTTTGAGGGCATGTCTCTGTGTTCTTTTTCTGCATGCTTTTTTGCATGCCCGTTTTGGTGGTCCCCCCCCCCCTTTTTTTTTTTTTTTTTTTTCTCCCTTTCCCCTCTTCATCTTAATTGAGGACGTGTGTTCCGGTGCTTTTTTGATTCATTTTGCCACATTCCTGATGCGTTCCATGCAGTGAAAATACATCCTATTCTGCTTTCTTTGTCTGCATTGGTGTAAACTAGGGCCATTAGAATCCATGCGTTTTTTATGTAGAATTAAAAATATACTGGAATTTTTTCCTAGGTGCATTTACATTTTAGAAACATTGATCTGAAGTTTCCACTGCTTTGACCAATCTTCCAGCAATTCCAAGTCATGTACCATGTTAGATGCCTTCAGGGACCTCAACCCTATTGCACACACCTTTTGTGTCATCAGCAAAAAAAGATACATACCTTGCTCACCAAACCTGATATAACTAATTATATCAGCTAAAAATAGAACAGCTCTGGAAGGTTTTACTCTTTTTATGACCAGGCCATTTTTTGCTATTCAGCACTATGCTACTTTAACTGGAAATTCTGTGGTTATGCAACACTGTACCCAAATGAAGTTTTTTAATAAAAAAAATTCTCACAAATAGAGCTTTCTTTTGGTGTTAAAATTGCATAAAATAAAAAAACCAGTGGTGATCAAACAAAAAAAGACCTAAAATTTTGAAGAAAAATATTTTCTACTTTTTATAAAACATGCAATAAATTTAAATTTTGTCATAAGTTTATTACAAAATGTATTCTGCTACATGTCTTTGGTAAAGAAAATACCATTAAGTGTATATTGGTTTGTGTGAAAGTTAGTGTCTATAAACTATGGTGTGTGTTTGTGTTTACAGCGGGTTAAATAAGTATTGAAAACGTCAGTATTTTTCTTGGTAAATATATTTCTACAGGTGCTATTTACATTAAATTTTCACCACGTCGGTGGTAACCCATGCACACTCAGTACATACAAAGAAACCAAATAAGTTTCAGAAATTGTGTAATAAAATGGAATGACACAGGGAAAAAGTATTGAACACGCTAACTGAAATTGATTTAATACTTCGTGCAAAATCCTTTGTTGTTAATGACCGCTTCAAGACACCCCATGTATGGAAAAACTAGTCACATGCATTGCCCAGGTATGATTTTGGCCCATTCTTCCACAGTCTTCAAATCTTAAAGGTTCAGTTGGCCTCTTCTATGAACTCTGATCTTTTAGTTTTTTCCATAGACTTCCTATTGGATTCAAGTCAGGTGATTGTCTGGGCCATCCTAGCAGCTTTATATTTTCTTTTTGAAACCAGTTGTTTTCTTGGCTTTTTGTTTGGGATCATTGTCTTACTGAAATGTCCACCCTTGTTTCATCATCATCATCCTGGTAGATGGCAGCAGATTTTTAGCAAGAATGTCTTGGTTCATTTTTCCATGCATCCTTCCTTCAATGATATGAAGTTTACTAGCTCCGTATGCTAAAAAAATTGCCCCATACCATGATGTTCCCACCTCCAAACTTCACTGTTGGGTTGGTGTTTTTGGGCTAATGTACAGTGCCATTTCACCTTCAAACATGGTGTGTATTATGGCATGCAAAGAGTTCAATTTTGGTCTCATCTGGCCAGACTATATCTTCAGAAGCTCTCATGAAGAAGGAACATCCTTCAAAACGTGTCAGATCCCTGAGTGTCCACCCCTATGATGGGACTCGCGCAGGTCTTACCATTCCATAGTTTCTTTGAGAACTGATATGCTTGAAATACTTCTTTGTTTGTGAGTATATTTTTGTATTCAATAAAATTGGTTTACTGAGGTAATGCGCAAGGTTGGTGTGCTTCTTTTTTGTCATGGCAGCAAGAAAGAAACTGGGTTAGCAAGGTGTGGGTAAGGATAGCATTTAGATCATGCATTGATTATTGTACAGGATTTATATAGCGCCAACAGTTTGCGCAGCACTTTACAAAATGAAGGTAGACATTGCAGTTAGAATACAATTTGGTACAAGAGGAAACAGAGGGCCCTGCTTGTTAGAGCTTACAATTTAGGAGGGGTTGAGTGATACAAAAGGTAATAGCTGTGGGGGATGAGCTGATGGAGGAAATAAATGGTGGTTTACTAGGTAGAAGCAGTATAGGCTTCTTTAAAGAGGTTTTTAGGGATCGTGTAAAGGTGGATAAATTAGGAGACAGCCGGACAGATTGGGGTAGGGAGTTCCATAGGATGGGAGAAGCTCGGGAGAAGTCCTGGAGGCGAGCATGGGAGGAGGTGACATGGGAGCTAGAGAGCAGAAGGTCTTTGGAGGTTTGAAGAGAGTGATTTGGTTGTTATTTTGAGACCAGGTTGGTGATGTAGCTGGGGGCAGAGTTGTGGATGGTTTTGTAAGAAGTTAGTATTTTGAATCTGATTTGTTGGGTGAGTGGAAGCCAATGGAGGGATTGGCAGAGAGGGGTAGCAGACACTGAACGGTTGGTAAGGTGGATGAGCCTGGCAGCAGTATTCATGATGGACTGGAGGGGGGATAGCCTATTTAAAGGTAAGCCGAGTATAAGCGCCTCTAAGTGCAGCAGACCACTTTAATATATAATAAGTAGGCACACTCACATGTTAATAGAGTAATAAAAGCATTGCATATTGGTCACTGACTAAATCACGACGACGGTGCGGTTCAGCGTGCGTTCTAGCCGCCATCTTTAGGAGTACGTGCATGCCGCCCGGCTCCACATCTGTCTCCCTCCTGAACCACGCTCCCTACCATTGAGACGTTGACGATACAGGCACCAGTGACAGCCGTTCCCACATGGTGTTTCTACACCACAATACCCTGCATGCTTTTATTACTCTATTAACATGTGAGTGTTCCTACTTTTTATTATGTTTTATTATATGTTGAAGTGGTGTGCTGCACTTAGAGGCGCTTCTTCTTCTCTCCTTACTACACAGTACTGCATGGAGCTTCCACTGAGTGCCACACGGACCCCCCCCTTATCCAAGTCACCCGGACTATTTCTAAATACTACTAGACTGATTATCATTACTTCTATGTAAAGATAAGCCAATGAGGAGGGAGTTGCAGTAGTCGAGGCGAGAGATGACCAGGGAGTGAATTAGGAGCTTTGTGGTATCATTAGTTAAAAAGGAGCGTATTCTGGAGATCTTGCAGAGGTTGAGGCGGCATGACTTGGACAGGGATTGGATGTGGGCCTGAAAGGATAGTTCAGAATCCAGGGTTACCCTAGCACCCTGGCATGCGGGGTGAGTTGAAAGTGGTGCTATTGATCCTGACCGAGCGATCAGGGGAAGAGGCACATGGGGGAGGAAATATTATGAGCTCAGTTTTGGATAGATTGAGTTTTAGGAAGTGGTGTGACATCCAGTCTGTTAGTAAATCGGTGATACATGAGGAAACTGATGGGGTGAGCTAAGGAGTAGAGAGCTAGATTTGTGAGTCTTCAGCATAGAAATGGTATTGGAAACAATGGGAAGCTATCGGCTGACCCAAGGAAGAAGTGTAGATCGAGAATAGGAGAGGTCCAAGGACAGAACCTTGGGGAACCCCGACAGTAAGAGGAGTAGAAGAGGAGGAAGTAGAGTTGTAAGTGACACTGAAGGTGCGGTGAGATGAGCAAGATTCAAACCAATGGAGAGTACAGTCACGGAGACCAAGTAAATGTGGTGTTTTTTTTTTTTGAGGAGGGGGTGGTCAACTGTATCAAAGGCAGCGGAGAGGTCCAAGAGCAAGAGTACGGAATAGTGATCCTTGGTTTTAGTGGTTAGTAAGTAGTTTGTGACTTTTAGGAGAGCAGTTTCTGTGGAGTGTTGTGGGCAAAATCCATACTGAAGGGGATCGAGAAGGTTATTTTCAATAAGGTGGCAGCTCAGCCGTTTGTAGTCTAAACGTTCAAGGAGTTTGGAGGCAAAAGGCAGTAAGGAGATGGGTCTTGGATTGCTAAAATTGGCAGGGTCCATTGTGGCTTTAAGTATGGGGGTGACTAGCGCATGTTTTAGCGAGTTGGGGAAGATGCCAGTAGAATGGAATAGATTGAAGATATGAGTTAAAGAATGAAGGACAGAGCCAGAGGGTGACTGTAGTATTAGCAAGGGGCAGGTGGTTAGGTGGACTTTTAAACAGTTTACCAGCCTCCTATAGTAGCTGGCTTAAATAAGGGAAGTATAGATTGTGCAGGTGGACAAGGAGTGTAGGGTAAGGGAGTTATCTGTACAGTGGAGATCTCGTCACAAATTGTATCAATCTTATTTTTGAAGTGATTAGCGATCTCCTGGGCAGTGAGTGAGTTAGTGAGTGGAGGTAGAGCGTTAAAGGTAAAAGTTGACGGGGATTGTGTGAGAGGGTGATGAGAGTGATAAAATAGGTCTGTTTGGCAGTGTGGAGACCAGAATTGTATTTTTGAAGGGCAGATTTATATTGTTTGAAGTCTTGCTGGGTCCTAGTCTTACGCCATAAATGCTCCAGAGCATGGCTACGTTTTTTGAGGCATCTGGTATTGTCTGTTTGCCAGGGCTGTAGTGGTCGGGGCCTAATTATGTGTGTAGTGAGGGGGGCCAATGTGTCCAGGGTGGATGAAAGTCAACTATTGTAGACAGAAGTGGCCATGTTGGGGCAGGACAGGGCTAAGATTTTGTCAGAGACAATCTGTTGCTGAAAAAAGTGAAGGGTTAAGATAACAAAGGTTTCTACGGGTAACTGTTTGGTAGTTGGAAGACGAAGAGGAAGCCAAGGAGAAAGTAAAGCTAATAAGGGAGTGACCAGAGGGAGGAAGAGGAAACTTTGTGAGGTTGCAAGGAGTGCATAGGTAGGAGAATACAAGGTCGAGACAGTTACAGTTTGAGTGACTAGAAGCATGCGTCCATTGTTTTAGGTCAAAAGAAGTGTGGTTAGGCTCAGAAGTTTAGAGGTAGCAGAGTGTTAAGATTAACAGGGATGTTGAAGTAACTAAGAATGATAGTGGGAATTTCAGAAGAGCGAAAGTAAGGCAGCCAGGCAGAAAAGTTATCAAGTAAGCTTGATACCGGTCCAGGAGGCCGATAGATCACAGCAATTCTTAAAGAAACTGGAGAAAACAGACGAATACATTGAATTTCAAAAGAGGTCAGGGAGGGAGGTGAATGGAGGACTTGAAAAGTGCTTTGAGGGGATTCGAGGATTCCTACTCCGCCTCCTTTCCGTCCACTTGGCCTGAGAGAGTGAGTCCAGAGGAGACCACCATGGGAGAGGGCAGCAGGAGAGGGAAAGTCAGATTTATAAAGCTAGATTTCCGTAATTGCAAGCAAGTTAAAGGAGTTTGTGATAAAAAGGTCATGGACAGAGGTGAGTTTGTTACAGAGCGGGCATTCCAGAGGGCACAGGAATAGGGGAGGCTGGTGCTAGGAAGAAGAGGAATAGTAACCAGATTGTGGTTTGCGGATGCTGTTGGAGGATAGAGGGTGGTGTGGGTGTGTTGATCAAAAGAAAAAGATGGCGGTCCGGGATTTGAATGAATGTCTCCAGATGTTAGGAGAGGCAGAAGGGTGAGGGAGGTAATATGGGAGTATGACGTATACGGAGGGACAGGTTCCAGTGTCCTGGTGGTTTTATTAGTGTGTTGGTTCAGAATTAGCAGCAGTTGATGAATACAGTAATAAGGTGAAGAAAGGAGTGAGGGTGATATATATAAGTTGTGGGGTGAAGGAGAGAGAGTTTGAAGAGGGAGGATACAACTGTGAGTAGGAGTGCATGTTACAGACTGCTGAGATGAAGCAGACTGGATAAGAACTGAAAGAGCTGGATGGAGAAAAGTCACCTGTAGGACTGATTTAGTATTTGAAGTTGTCTGTTGTGGTTTCTCGCTTTGTGCATTCGCTGAAGTGCAGAGCCAAAGTGTAATACTTAATCCAAGATCAATACTTTATCCAAAGATGATAGTTGCCAATGCTGCCACTGGCTCATGCATCTCACACTTACTGCTACCGGATTTGTAAAGTTCTGAAGATTTATTCTCTCTGGTTCTGGTGGGGGCAGCTGCACTCTGAAGGTTTTTACTTCAATAATGCTCTCACTTTACATCGCTGTTTGCATACTTTCTCATCCTGCACGCACATTTGCATTCCCATGTGTGCGCAAGGTGATGGCCCTGTCTCAGTGACAACCCGGAAATGGCTAAATGCACATTGCCAATGTCTTAAAGTGATTTTATTGAAAACGTTTGCTGAAAAAAATCTGTTAACCGCAAGTCCTGGCTAGTTTAAATACAGTATGAAAGTAAGTGGTTAATCTGCCAGACCTGTCAGAAGTGATAGATTTCGTCCATTGCCAGGACAGCCCTTAGGTGATTAAAAACTAAAGCCTTATGCTTCAGTTGCAGTGACTTGTTGAAAACCTCAAAAGTTGTCCCATGTGGGACTGATGTCCATGCAAGTGTGTAGGACACTATAGTTGTATGCCTGGAACGCCAGTAGTATGTCAGAGGAACATCTTACTAGGTGGTTTATTGCAAGACATACCATCGGACCTGCTCCTTCAGTCTCTTTTACAGTTGTACATGGACATCCTAAGCCCAATTGTCACTCGGACTACATGACTCACAGCCAGAGGTCTTCACACCCTTCTGGTAGCATTTTTACATGATTGTGCACCCCTCTTCTAGTGGAAGGCTGTTTATTGAGCTGGGTCCCTGGACAGTTTAATTCCAAGTGTATAGTTGCTTAGGTCAATCTCCTGTAGCTTTATCAAGTTAAATCCCTGAGCCCTGCCTCAACTGTCTCTCATTCATCCTCCTCAGCTGTTCCCAAAATTGTATCCACCCAGTCTATGTTTAATTCCCCATACTCTGAGACCTCTGATTCCTTCCTTGACAGACCTTCAAGAGTGGTACCACTCTGGATCTTGCACCCCCCGCCCCCTTATAAATGAGTTTGCTACTCAAAAGTCTTATCCCTCTCCCAGTGTCCTGAGCTACAAGGTCAACAATCCGTGTTTCTTTTGTTTTTTCTCTCCTGAAAAGATTCTGCTCATTCAGCATTCTCCAGAAGTATCCGTTCCTAAGCAGTATCCGTATCCGTTCCTACTATCTTCTAGTGCCTTCTGCTAGCATCTCCAATGTGAAACTCTGGAAACCCTAGCAATCAGAATTTTTCAGGGGAGCTTAAACCTATAGACTTTGATTGGAGATGGCTTCTCCTGGATTGAACACTGGTAATTTTGGCATACCAATGGTTAAGACTTTCATTGGGGTGTATTCATTTTTGCAACATGGTTTTGAATGTGTTAGGAAAATTACTTGTGTGTACAAATTAACAAATCTTGTTTACAGTCAATGGTCCACATTTGTGGGAGTTTTTTGTCCCATATAAAATGTCGATTCTGAAAAGAAAGTAAAGGTTTTCTGACAAATCTGTTGGGGTGTACTCATGCTGAGCACTGTACGTGCTGTGTAGCTGTCAACTGTTCCATGCTGCCTCTGCGTGAGTATATACTTGCTTATTAGAATTTTCAAACACAAAAACAGATTTCTTAAAAAAAAAAAAAAAAAAAATACCACACAAGGATCTTTGTGTGAAAAAATAACAAATATATCATATGGGTTCAGTGTTGCTTGACCGTGCAGTTGTCATTCAAAGTGCAACAGCACTGAAAGGTGAAAATTGGCCTGGGTAGGAAGGGAGTAAAAGTGGCTGGTAGACAAGTGGTTAAAAGGCTTCCCCTTCTGGACCTCCTCAGCTAATGAGCTCAACATTGGGGTCTGAGGATTCAGTACCTGTATGCCAGTCTTTTCCTGCTGGAAAGCCCTGTCCTCCCCTGAACAGTGGGAACATACTGAATCCTGCTGTTTGAATATTGTAAATCTGGAGGTCTCTTCGGGACTTGATCAGCAGCAGTCTACAGGGGAAGTTTCTTCTGACTCCTTTCCCATTCCTACTCCCAAATCTGGCCAGTGCTACTAGTACTGGGTCTAATATGCCCCTTGCTCCTTGGTTGAGGCTGTACCACAGAGTCAGGGCAAGGTGACTGTCTAGAATTTTTTTGTTGCGCTAAGTATGCAGTTTTAAATAAAGCATACAAAACTGACAATTATTCATAACGTGTTTTTTGGATTGATGAACAACTAACATGGTGCTTTGGCCAATAAGGCCAATAAGAGAGCATGTGCTTTGGCCAATAAGGTTTTGCTTGCATTTTTTTGTGGATTCTATTCCCGTGAAAGTGTGGCAGTTAATGTAATATTTTGTACATTGGTAATTTTTTTTTTTTTTTTCTTTTCTCTAGGAAAAAAATGAAAAAGGCTTGGGAACGAGCAGTTGAATTCCTGGCTACAAATGAATCTCGTATACAGACTGAAACACAGAAAATAGCAGGAACAGATTTCCTTGTATGGAAATGGATTCAGCCACTTTCATGTGACAAGATCTCGGCCATCCCTTCTAAAGTATGGCAAGGGCAAGGTAATACTTCCATTTTCCCTGTTCTTATTCATATGCCAAGTGTGTCTCCTGTTACAGAAGTTATGCTACTGTTGGTAAATTTGTGAATTTTTTTGGATGAACAGGTGAGGCATTACCAAGGGTATATGTGAGTATGGTTAACTCTGTAGCTACTGTGATAGACTAATTTGGCATCTTTTAATGTTCCATCAAGGTAACAATTGTATAGGTGATGTATGTAGCATTCTACTGGGAATCCCTGACTTAAAGGAAGTTAGTTGAAAGAAGTTCATAGGCTGCATTGCTGACCACCTTTTGACATTTCTGATCCAAGCAAGCAACTATTATTTGAGACAAAGCACCTAATCTACATGTGTTACAAGTCAGACTTTGAATCCAATGTGTGTCTGTATTGGACGGATGACGAGTGTGTATTTATGAAGGTATTTTTCACGCAGCAACTAGTCCAACAGTTCTTTTCCAGAGATGCATTTATTCGGCCCAGTGACCATCCATAAAACAGAGGTACAGACAAGGCAGGTGACAGGGTATATAGAATATTCATGCAACCATCAGAAACCCTCAGAGGACTCACTTTCTCCTGTCACAACTTAACCGAAAACCTTCCGTAATATACACATCTCCCAATTCAGTATGACAAGCACTCTGGCCACTTTTAGGAACCCCTTTGATCTTCTGGGTGACAGGCAATGCCTTTTGGGCTTGGACAACTGCAGTCATTCTAATCAAAGTTGTCCAGATATTTCCTAAACTACATTCTTTTACTATTAATTAAGCAAGTCACCCTTTGATAAAATGCTATTTACCATACTTAATATCCCTTTTCATGTAGATAGTAGATGTTGACCAAGTCCTTAAAAGTTTCACAAAGCAATCTGCATGTTGTCACCCTTGCAAGTTTGCAAATTACCTCCTTTGAAAAGTAAAAGTTGGCCCCCAAATGCCAAGGTGAAATTGCATAAAATTAACTTAGAAAAGAGTCCTTGACTATGCTTTTGTTGTGTAAAATACATCTAGCTCAGTCCTATGTTGGCCTGCTCAATAGTGTGAGAATATACCATATAGTGTGTATGTGTGTGAGACTATATCCCTACACACTGGGCCACAGTGATAGTTGGAAAATAGGATTTGTTTAGTGGCCATAAAATTTGCAGGGGAACTGGCAGGGGTAGCTTGTGGCTAAACGAGATATCAATGTATATAATGGGTTGAAACCGCAGTTACTGAAGTGCATAGGGAACCAGACACTAATCCCATGGAGTCAGAGGAACAGACTGGGAGTGCCAAGAGAGAACAGATGGTGGGAGGACTATATGAGAGACCCCCACTCTCCACTGGTTTTGGAGTGAGCAACCAATGATCTCTGAAACAAAACAGGGCAGAAACCTGGCCAATGATGGTGCTGATGGCTAAATACTGGGCCAGACCCAGCAGCAAAGATTTGTTCCACAGAGAACCTGCTCGTATGGGTGCCCCTGAAACTCACACCCAGTGAAGTATACCTTCCATGTCTGAAGATGACCTAGCAGGAACTGGATTTCTAACTTTTTGTGTGATAGAAATCGGACTGAGATTCCTCTGTTCCTTTTTAGAGCGTTTTCCTGGAATCTTAACAGGTCGATGTACCACATCCTCTCTGGGTAACTACAGAGCAAGTGGGGATCACTGGAATGCCCTCCATCTTGATCCTGCAAAGAAAACATTCGGGGGAGGAATAGCATAGATTGGGGTGTAGTGATCCCACTGCCACCAGAGAATCCCTGTACCTGGAGACAAACCTTTTTGTTGTTTTAACCTGGAGGCCCACATCAGGCATGCCACAGCTGCGCCACAGATTATGGATCGGGTGAAGGAACCAAAAGTAATTGCAAGTCTGCTGTAGGAAAGGATCAAAAAATTGTTGCCCTTGCAGGCAGGATCAGTGGTAGGTACATGTGTGACAGGAAGAACGTGACACGCCAGCTCTGTCACAGCGTTAACAGATTTCAGTGCAAAAACAGACAGGAATGAGGAGTAATCAACCTATGCAAAGGAGATAGCTATAGGTGGTCATGGATATAATGGATCACAGTGTGAACCATTAAGTAATGATTCTAATCTGCATAAAGTTGGAAACATTTCAGGCATTAACCTGTGAGATTGGCTGTTTGTAAATATGATTATTTAAAATATTGTGATTTGATTACTCTAAAGATTTTTCTTCAGAGGACATTTAATATACTGAGACAGAACAGTTACAATACAATTTGATACAAGGAAATGAGGAAGGTGCTGCTGGTGGAGCTTACAATCTAAAGGGATATCTGTGAACCTACAGATGACACATTACTGTACACAAAATGAAAAAATGTAGTGGAATCTCCTAAAGCAGACTAGCGTTACTTTTACATCAAACTCCCCTTTCTCTTTGCCAGGAAAAGCTACACCCCCAAATCCAAAAAGTCGGGTCGCTGTATAAAATCTATGTAAAAATGGAATGCAGTGATTTACAAATCTCTTAAACTCATATTTTTTCCACAATAGAAAACATATCCGACATTAAACTACTTGCCCTCCCGAGGATTTACCCCCCTTCCTGACCAGGCCATTTTTTTGCCTTACGGCGCTGCGTTACTTTAACTGACAATTGCGTGGTCATGCAACGCTGCACCCAAATGAGAACAATAATTTAGACTTTTTGCTATTAAACATGTCCAGTAAAAAAATTTAAATCTAATTTCGGCATAAGTTTAGGCAAAAAATATATGCTGCTACATGTCTTTGCTAAAAAAAAAAAAAATCCCAATACATGTAAATTAATTGGTTTACATGAAAGTTAGTGCTTACAAATAAGTGTTTTAGATACTGGAATTTTTTTTTTTCTTACTAGTACTGGCGGCGATCAGCGACGTATATCGGGACTGCAGCGGGCATTCTGACACTGGGGGGGAACTGTCTTGGTGACACTGACATCCCCAGTGACACCAATACAGTGATCAGTGCTAATAAAAGCTACTGACACTACTAGGAATGCCTCCTGCAATCCCTGACAAAGTGAAGACTGTGTGATGTCACCGTCAGAGCATTCCCTTTTTTTAAACTTTTTTCTTTTTTTGCACTTCCTGCTCAAAATGAAATATTCATATTTAACTGGTTATAACGAATACAATTTTTTCTTAAGCATGAATAAGATTAAAGAATCTTTTCCAAAGAAACCCTATTGTTAAATTCATTTATGTCGTATCTTGTGTTTTAGCTTTCCATCTGGATAAAAGAAATTCTCCTCCAAATAGCCTGACTCCCTGCTTAAAAATACGCAATATGTTTGATCCAGTCATGTAAGTATATTGGCATTTTAACAAGAACAAAAAAAGGCTCAATTCTAAAAAAGAACTTTATTATTATTGTGCTGTTTTAAACATGCTATATACCAGGAATGTTGAATTCATATCGCCTGACTCCCGGGACATGTAGTTCTGGGCGCCGGGCGGGGTTTTTTTTTGCCCGGCATGCAGCAGGGCTCACCTGTCAGGTGAAAGCATTCAGGTGGCAGCGCTGTCGCTGATTGCTTCCACATAGTGCCAGCCTCATAGGGGTTTTTTTGTGCCCTAAAGTTAACTTGTATTTTTTACTGAAATTTTGCGGTAATATCATGCGACAAAAAATTAAAACTACCACTATTTTTTATTCTCTAGGTTTTGTCTGCTTTCGAAAAATATATCATGTTTTGGGGATTTTATGTAATCTTCAGGCCTAAAATTTATTTTTAAACGTACAAAAAAGGGAAAAAGGATAAGCCCAACACTCTCCTTTCCTGAGGAGCACCCAATCAGAGCTCATTACACTGCAAGGTCTTTCCCCTCCCTGCTGGTCCCTGGGTGAGGTGCTGGAGACGGAGGCGGGAGGAGAAAAAACCGTGCAATGTTAAAATTATTACACGTTAAAGTCGCCATAAAGCCCCTTTTTTGTTTTTAAAAGCCTAAGACATTCTTAAAATCACCTTGGATTTAAAAACTTTTTTGGTTAAAATGTATTTATTTTGTATCTGGACAAGTAGATTAGTACACTGATTTAAACCCTGGACAAGTGATTTTAAAAAAATTTCCACACCCCTGTATACAAATGTGTTGACTTAAATATTTTCTGTAGTGCTTTGTATTGTGAATGCATTAATATACTGTGTTGATAATTTTGTTACAGGGAAATTGGTGATCATTGGCATTTGGCAATTCAAGAAGCGATTTTGGAAAAATGTAGTGATAATGAAGGGATAGTTCACATTGCAGTAGATAAAAACTCCAGAGAGGTAACTGCCTTTCTTTACCCTTTTATAAATATACCGCTCTATCACTCTTATTGACAAGCATTGATGTTTTTATTGTGGTGGTGTGTTTTTGTTTTGTTTTTTTCCCAGGGATGTGTTTATGTAAAATGCTTATCCCCAGACTATGCAGGAAAAGCTTTCAAGGCATTACATGGATCCTGGTTTGATGGTAAGAAGCTCAATTATTTTGCAACCTACCTGTGTGGATCTCTTGAGATTAAAATTGCCTTTCATTTCCTTATCTCTTTATGTAGTAACTGTCAAAGGTCCCATGCAGCCCCATATTGGATACCAAGAAGTTACCTGACATGTAGAACTGGTGTGAGCCTTTTAACCTAAATTAAGAGTTGTAGCGCAGTAAAGCTGTGATTTGAGGGCTTATAGTTGTGGAATGGGGGGAGGAGTTTTGCTTTTAGTTCTACTTTATTTTGGATAGAGTAAGGGTTTATTTTTGCTATCTGTGTCCCTATGGGGAAATGTCCCTTCACTTCCTGTCCCATAGCCAAAACAGGTAGTGAAGGAAAATACCTCTTACTTGAGGAGCCTATGGGTGATGTCCTCACCTGGATTCTGCAGCCATTGCTGGTGATCTCTTCACTGAAGCTGGCTGCTGGGGAGATCATGTGACTGGACTGAACACCCTCAGCATAGATAAGTACACAGGTCCTTACTTTACAAGGTAGATAGAATAGGCTTAGAATGGGGGTGGGAGCAGATTAAAGTATAGTTGGTGATCGACTGAACTTTCACTTTAGCGGTTTCCCCAAACCGTTACATTCAAAGCATGCCTTAAATGATAAATGTAAAAAGTGCTTGTGCTCGCAAACAAATTGCCAGGCCAACAATTGGCTGGTGTCATAACTAATCACACGTGCATCACCATTATTATACTAGATTTGATAGTGCCAACCATTTACACAGAGCTTTATAACAGCGCCATGGCAAGTGAAGAACAGACAGAGGCCTAGATGGCAGCTTCCTTGGCTTAAAAAATAAGAGGGTTTAGTTCTTTATTACCTTTATAGAATGTGATTCTAAGACTGTTGCTTTCATGGCAGAAAGGTCTGTTTGGGTACTGATGCTAAGTGATATAACCTGGTTCTTTTGAAAGTCCTGTAATATGCAAAGGAACTATTGGATGAGGTGCTAGCTGTGAAGGAGGCCAAACCTTAACAGACCTTCATGCCCTTTTCAAACCAAGCCCATACTGGTAACAATTTGTAGGCTGCTTTTGCTGTCTACCTCTTTAAAAATGATAGTCACTGCTTGGCCACTACTGCCATCTGTTATAGTGATTGACCTGGGGAACATCATGCATCCTGTGAAAGCTTGAAATCTTGATTATACATAAACTTTACAGTATTGATTCCATTGGTTCCACATGAAAAATTGGCAACGACCATGTTCAGAAAGAAAGGTGAGCAATGGCAGCAGTGTACATATTTCTCTCCGCACAGGTTTCCTTTAATGTTAATAGTGGGATTGGCTGTCTGATCATCCTTTTGCTCTTAGTCTTTTGTATTGGATAGCAATCTATAAAATGATGGTTCTTTTGTAACATGGAAGCTTTAAAGTTTGCAGCAGCAGCTACGTAAAACTAGTTTACAACGGAAGCGAACGCCAAACACTTTTGAAAGGTGGTTGTGAATTGCAAGCATGGATTAGGAGTAAATTTTCAAAAGCAGATGCTTGCACTTTGCTACTCCATACAGGTTCACAGAGCAATATATTTTAATCTGTGTTTGTAGTTTCTCCTGTAGATCTTGCTACAGAAGAAATCTGGAGGTACGTTTTGCAGTTCCAGAGAAATTGCTCAGTAGGTAGAATCCCCCTTTCTCCTATATAACCACATGAATTCAGAAGCAGCCTGGGTTACACTGCTGCTTAGGTGGTTACTCTGGCAAATGGAACTAATGTAAGGCAGCCCTGTATAACCCTTTCTCTATGCAGCACGCCTCAGTTTTTTGCTTGTGAATGCAACTCAACAGAGACTTTTAACTGATTTTTTGCTAGCCACCTAATTTCATGGTATTGTTTCCTTGACGACCATAAAGAATCTTGAGAACTGCTCTGGTTCTTTTTCTTAGTGACTTCACTATTCCTCGCTGTGCTGCTGCTCTTCGAGCTGATCTCTACACAGCAGCCATTTGGATCGGCAGTTCCTCAGCACTAGTATTGAGGGCCAGACCCAGCCTAGAAAACCAAATTTAGGCACTGCATTCTGCACTGTGGGGTTTTCCAGCGTAAAGCGAACTGTTGGCCACAGGGCACCTCCTGGGTATGGAGCCATGGCACAGTCCCAGATGTGAGACTATCTTTTGAAGCCTTGAGTGAGGAAGGCAGTTCAGGCTAAAGCATTGAGAGCTACCTTGAAATTCCTACCAGTGCTGGTTACTACAATAAGGGTTTTTTCTGAGGGACCGAGTGCTGGCATTAGTTCGGTGCAGTGCTTCACTGGTGCTCTTTTTTTTTTTTTTTTTTTTTTTTCTTTTTTTCTCCCCCTCTCTCCATTTTAGATGAGGAAGCATCATCCCGCTGATGGTCCTGCTCTTAAAGCACAGCACAGGTGACCTCAGCCTATATACTCCTGGTAGTTCAGGGGACATTTTTTCTGGTATCTACAAAAGGAGTCATCACTCATAATTTTGGAACCCCTGTTTTCATAAGTTTGACATGCTTGGTGTCTGTCGAACAGCCAAGGTCGCCTGGGAAGAGGGGAACGCCTTGTCCATGATAGCTTTCCAATCTGCTTGTTCAGACACTGGGGCATTCTGCCCACAGAGGTTCTAATGTGTCCTCCGATACCATACCATGCAGAGGTATGGTATCTGATACCATACCAAGCGGAAACCTAAATGAGAAACTAACTACAGGGTCAAACAGTCTGCTTCCAGTGAGGCTGTATTTCGGATCTTGTGGACTCCTGAAGCGGACCCAGATTTAGAGTTTTTTTTTTTTTTTTCCCTTCAAAATCTAGATGCATACTATCCTGTGCAAGGAGAATCAGCCTGGCCCTCCTTTTTTTTTTTTTTTTTTTTTTTTTTTTTTTGGCTGCACCAAAAACACTCTGCATTTGGCAATGTGTGGGGTACTATTAAGACTTATTAATGGCACCCCCAAAGAGTAGAGCATACAGTCAGGTCCATAAATATTGGGACATCGACACAATTCTAACTTTTTTGGCTCTATACACCACCACAATGGATTTGAAATGAAACAAACAAGATGTGCTTTAACTGCAGACTGTCAGCTTTAATTTGAGGGTATTTACATCCAAATCGGGTGAACGGTGTAGGAATTACAACAGTTTGCATATGTGCCTCCCACTTGTTAAGGGACCAAAAGTAATGGGACAGAATAATAATCCTAAATCAAACTTTCACTTTTTAATACTTGGTTGCAAATCCTTTGCAGTCAATTACAGCCTGAAGTCTGGAACGCATAGACATCACCAGACGCTGCGTTTCATCCCTGGTGATGCTCTGCCAGGCCTCTACTGCAACTGTCTTCAGTTCCTGCTTGTTCTTGGGGCATTTTCCCTTCAGTTTTGTCTTCAGCAAGTGAAATGCATGCTCAATCGGATTCAGGTCAGGTGATTGACTTGGCCATTGCATAACATTCCACTTCTTTCCCTTAAACTCTTTGGTTGCTTTTGCAGTATGCTTTGGGTCATTGTCCATCTGCACTGTGAAGCGGCGTCCAATGAGTTCTGAAGCATTTGGCTGAATATGAGCAGATAATATTGCCCGAAACACTTCAGAATTCATCCTGCTGCTTTTGTCAGCAGTCACTTCATCAATAAATACATGAGAACCAGTTCCATTGGCAGCCATACATGCCCACGCCATGACACTACCACCACCATGCTTCACTGATGAGGTGGTATGCTTAGGATCATGAGCAGTTCCTTTCCTTCTCCATACTCTTTTCTCTTCCCATCACTCTGGTACAAGTTGATCTTGGTCTCATCTGTCCATAGGATGTTCCAGAACTGTGAAGGCTTTTTTAGATGTCGTTTGGCAAACTCTAATCTGGCCTTCCTGTTTTTGAGGCTCACCAATGGTTTACATCTTGTGGTGAACCCTTTGTATTCACTCTGGTGAAGTCTTCTCTTGATTGTTGACTTTGACACACATACACCTACCTCCTGGAGAGTGTTCTTGATCTGGCCAACTGTTGTGAAGGATGTTTTCTTCACCAGGGAAAGAATTCTTCGGTCATCCACCACAGTTGTTTTCCGTGGTCTTCCGGGTCTTTTGGTGTTGCTGAGCTCACCGCTGCATTCCTTCTTTTTAAGAATGTTCCAAACAGTTGTTTTGGCCACGCCTAATGTTTTTGCTATCTCCCTGATGGGTTTGTTTTGTTTTTTCAGCCTAATGATGGCTTGCTTCACTGATAGTGACAGCTCTTTGGATCTCATCTTGAGAGTTGACAGCAACAGATTCCAAATGCAAATAGCACACTTGAAATGAACTCTGGACCTTTTATCTGCTCATTGTAATTGGGATAATGAGGGAATAACACACACCTGGCCATGGAACAGCTGAGAATCCAAATGTCCCATTACTTTTGGTCCCTTAACTAGTGGGAGGCACATATGCAAACTGTTGTAATTCCTACACCGTTCACCTGATTTGGATGTAAATACCCTCAAATTAAAGCTGACAGTCTGCAGTTAAAGCACATCTTGTTTGTTTCATTTCAAATCCATTGTGGTAGTGTATAGAGCCAAAAAAGTTAGAATTGTGTTGATGTCCCAATATTTATGGACCTGACTGTATGTCTGCATGTCAGGAACAAGCATGATTTTGCATGAGTTCTGTGACTTGCAATAACATGAACTAAGCTGGGGTGCCTCTAGACTGAAAATACTTTTCAAGGACGCCCTAACTGGGAAGAGGTTGAGAAACACTGATGTAACCTCACACCCCCCTTATCTAATAGGTTTTTGTTTTTTTTTTTTTTTTTTTTTTTTTCCATCTATTATAGCGTTGGGTAGGGGGGCAAGCTGAATAATCCAGCTGGTTGTGCTAATGAGGTTACACTTTTGCATTTTACTAATTTCAATGTTGCTTTTTCTAATACAATCCATTTTTTTTCTTCCACAGGAAGTTGGTGACTGTAAAATACCTGCGATTAGACCGCTATCACCATCGATTTCCACAAGCTATTACATGCAACACTCCTCTGAAGCCATTAAACAAACATATGAACTCTATGTCACAGTTGAATCTTCGGACTGGCACATTAAATTCTCAGTCATTATGAGAAACCTTTACGCCATTGACTTATGTGCAGCAGGGGTGGGGGTCCTGACTTGCATCTGTCTTCCTTTTTTTTTTTTTTTTTTTTTTTTTTTTTTTTTTTTTTTTTTTTTTGTTCCCCCCCCCCCCTTCAATCTTCATCAGTATCACACTTCCAGCAAAATTTCAAGTTTGTATGAAAAAATGAGTATGCATCCAAAGGACAATACAGGTGGACAAAAAAGTGTTAAAGCAGTGGCGTACAATGTCTTTATAGATGATAAATGATTTTTAAAAAAGAAGAAAAAAAAAAAAAACCTTTTCAGACGTTCATGCATTGTGAACTAGATGACTGTTTTCTTAAAATGAAAAGCGGATAATTTATTGAATTCCTATGGGATCCTGCACACTATTTTTGTCATATATAAATATATACCCTAATATAATTGTACATTCTGAGGCTGACTTCTGCTGCTGTAGATAGTGATTTTGTTACAGCTGAAGTGCAGGGGCTATCTGGCTTTGTTTCATGAGGCAGGAAATGGACAAAATATATACAGGTCTTTTTTGTATTTAAATGTAATTAATGATGGTGGCGGCAAGTCTTGTGCAAATGTCTGCTTTAAAGCAGTAAATAAGCTTCCTATTTTATTCATAATGTTATTTTATATAATAAATTGGCTGTACCATCTCATTAAGGTCAAACAGCCAATTACCTTTAAAAGTATTAGATAAAAGTTTAAATATCTTTTATAGGTTTTATATAAAATGTCTGACTTGGTTTCTTGTGAGGTCTGATACCAATTGTAAAGATTCAAATTATTGTGAGCAATAAATACGCAATTGGCAGATGCTGGACAGTGTAATTGGTGAACTGATGTATTTAATAAATATAATGCCTGTGACAAAGTATGGCGGGTACTCCAGAAGTGGATTAGAAAAGTCACTGCCCTCGTGTGCTGCTACAATGGGCTATAGAACACCTAAGCTTGTATACATGCAGAAATGGAAGTTGCTTGTGTTCCTTTACAATTTTTTTTTATTTATTATTTTTTTTTTTTTTTTTTTTGTTTTTTTACTTCAAGGAGCATTAAGTGTACTTCTGTATATTGTACATGAGTTATGTTTTGTGTATATAACATTTTGTTTACAGTGACAAAGGTCTGTCATTCTAGTTTTGTAATAGTTCTGCTGCAAGAGCTTGCATAGTAATGCTTAGTCTCAAGCAACTTTTCATACTATATTACAATTAAATAATAATTACTGCCTTCATAGCAGTTGCCTTAAAGTTGGAGTGTCACCTTGTTGTTTTTTGTATACAGAGTAACATAATTAGAAATCTTTTATTTAGGAGAGCTTGTATTTATATTATAGGTAAGAGAAAAAATGCTTAGGACAAATAGAGGCAACTTTTGGCTTTTGACAAGGGCCTTGTGTGACAGTCACTCTCAGATCCCACTGCTGCAACCATAATATGCTTGCCCTGTGCAGAGATTTTCCAGCTCTGTGACAACAATCTAACCACCATCAGACTGAAAGTGATTGTCACTGAGGCAGGCTAATTGAGAATTTGAACCATAACATGCATGGTGGCCATGTGGTTAAACTGCAATGGGGGAGATTTACTAAAACTGTTGCACTCAGAAGCTGGCTACCATGCACTGCTGCACCAGATTCTAACTTCAGCCTTTTCAATTATTCTTTGCCGATAAAACCTGGAAGCTTGATTGTAAAATCTGGTGAAGCTCTGAATAGAAACCACTCTCCAGTTTTAGTAAATAACCCCCAATGTGTTAGCGAAAACTCGCACTGTTTACAGCCTCCACTGTTGCAATTTTGTCCTTTTTTAACCACTTGCAGACTGCCCAGGTTTTGTACACAGTGGGAACATGCAGCAAGATGATTCATAGCCGGGACCTGTTGATCAGCTGTGTACAGTCACAGCCCAGCGCTCTGCGTTGACATTCAACCCAGGGCTCTGTACAGATGGAACGATGTTGGTTTTTTTATTCCTGCTTTGCAGAAATGAGAAACAGAGATCATTAGTAAAAAGCAGAACACTTTACACACCGTAAACAGGCACAGATTTGACCGCTTGATCACCCTAGATGTTAACCCCTTCCCAGCCAGTGTCATTAGTACAGTGGCAATGTATATTATCACTGACTATAAATGTCACTGGTAATTTCATTGGCAGTTAGCTCCATTGTCAGATTGCCCAAGTAGCTGATCACTGCCATAATTGTATAAAAAAAAAATATATATACATTAGTTTGTAGGTGCCTTAACTTTCACACAAACCAATCAATATACACTTCTTGGGATTTTTATTTTTTTTTTCCCCAGACGTAGCAGAATACATTTTGGCCAAAATTTTATGATTACATCTTTTTGGTTTAATTTTTTTTATTGGATAGGTTTTGTAGTAGAAAGCGCTATATATATATATATATATAATATATATATATATATATATATATATATATATATATATATATATATATATATATATATATATATATATATATATTCTATATATATATTAAATATTAGAAAAAATTTGAATATCGTGCAAAAGTTAATTTATTTCAGTAATGCAACTTAAAAGGTGAGGCTAATATATGAGATAGACTCATTACATGCAAACAAGATAGTTCAAGCCGTGATTTGTCATAATTGTGATGATTATGGCTTACAGCTCATGAAAACCCCAAATCCACAATCTCACAAAATGAGAATATTGTGAAAAGGTGCAATATTCTAGACTCAGTGTCCCAGTCTAATCAGCTAATTAAGCCATAACACCTGCAAAGGGTTCCTGACCCTTTAAATGGTTTCTCAGTCTGGTTCAGTAGGAATCACAATCATGGGAAAGACTGCTGACCTGACAGTTGTGCAGAAATCCATCATCGACACCCTCCATAAGGAGGGAAAGCCTCAAAAGGTAATTGCAAAAGAAGTTGGATGTTCCGAAAGTGCTGTATCAAAGCACATTAATAGAAAGTTTTGTGTGGAAGAAAAAGGTGCACAAGCAGCAGGGATGACCGCAGCCTTGAGAGGATTGTCATGAAAAGGCCATTCAAAAGTGGTGGACTTTCACAAGGAGTGGACTGAGGCTGGAGTCCGTGCATCAAGAGCCACCACACACAGACGGATCCTGGACATGGGCTTCAAATGTCGTAGTCCTCTTGTCAAGCAGCTCCTGAACAACAAACAAACAAACAATCTCAGGAGCGTCTTACTTGGGCTAAAGAAAAACAGACCTGGTCTGTTGCTCAGTGGTCCAAAGTCCTCTTTTCTGATGATAGCAACTGTTGCATCTCATTTGGAAACCAAGGACCTGGAGTATGGAGGAAAGAATGGAGAGGCACACACTGCAAGATGCTTGAAGTCCAGTGTAAAGTTTCCACAGTCTGTGTTGATTTGGGGAGCCATATCCTCTGCTGGTGTTGGTGCTGTGCATTAAGTCCAGGGTCAACGCAGCTGTCTACCAGGAGATTTTGGAGCACTTCATGCTTCCTTCCGCAGATGAGCTTTTATGGGGATGCTGACTTCATTTTCCATTTGGCACCTGCCCACACTGCCAAAAGCACCAAAACCTGGTTCAATGACCGTGGGATTACTGTGCTTGATTGGCCAGCAAACTGCAAATTGCTGCAAAAGGGGCCCAAACAAAGTACTGAGTACATATGCATGCTTATACTTTTCAGAGGTCCGATATTGTTCTATGTACAATCCTTGTTTTATTGATTGCATGTAATAGTCTAATTTTCTGAGATTGTGGATTTGGGTTTTTCATGAGCTTTAAGCCATAATCATCACAATTATGACAAATAACGGCTTGAACTGTCTTGCTTTGCATGTAATGACTCTATATCATATATTAGGTTCACCTTTTAAGTTGCATTACTGAAATAAATGAACTTTTGCACAATATTCTAATTTTTCGAGTTTCACCTGTGTGTGTGAAAAAAAAAAATATATATATATATATATATATATATATATATATATATATATAATTTTGCAATATAAAAAGGGAAAAAGACAGAAAATTCTGAATATATATATTCAGAATTTTCTGTCTTTTTCCCTTTTTTATATTGCAAAAAAAATTAAAAAACCCAGTAGTGATCAAATACTACCAAAAAAACTTTGGAAAAAAAAAAAAATTCAATTGGGTACAGTGTTGCGGAACTACGCATTTACCAGTTAAAGTAGCGCAGTGCCATATAGCAAAAAAAAAATGGCCTGGTCATGAAGGTGGAAACAAATCTTCTGCAGCTTAAATGGTTAGTGTCAGTATCCCTCGCTGCCATAGCAGACAGGAATGCAACGATTTACACCTTAGGGTAGCTCCTTACAGAGGCAAAGTTCTTTGCAGATTAAAAAAATAAAATAAAATCATTAATCTCTTAATGTTCTCATTTGAAATTAAAATAAACCTTTACTCTTTAATTTCGAAGACCTAAAACAAAGGAATAGTAGCACCTACAGAGATAGTTTAACACATGGTATAGTCCAACCTCAATGCAATGTAGATATTGGTTAAGAAAAAAACGAGATACATTGGTCAGTTGGGAATGTCCTGTACATCTTCTGGGTCTCTTGAAATACTATACAACATACTGCAGCTGTTTTATTACGATGGTTCTAAAATCATCCTGGAGTGTTTTGAATTTGGTTCAGTGTGTAAGGACAGCACAAATATGCCAAGATCCCCTTGCACAAAGGAGAGAAAAAAAAAAAAAACAACTTACTGTGGTAATAGACTAGTCTATGCATCAGATGTTTTATGATAGAATTGGTTTTGAGTTGTGGAAAGTCTGAGAAGGCAATATAGTCCAAATGGTCACATAAGTAGGGTACCTGTTGTGGTGGGTGTTGGGTTATGTCTTCTAGACGCTTAAGGAGCGTTAGTTCAGTGTACTGATCAGCAGTTGTAGGAATAAAAAGTGATTTCCAATGTCCCAAAATAACATTCCTGGCAGCAAGTAAGAGGAAGCAGCGGAGCAAGCCTTTCTT